TTAAAGATTGGAAAGGGTTGTTTGGGGTTTCCCATTGAACACGTGAGGGAAGAGTGGTTTGACCCACTGCCAAAGCTGCTCAACGATTGTGTTCTTGCCGGGGCGTCAACCCCACAGATGCTGCGGATGCGTACAACTATGTGGCTCTGCCTGTGGACCGAAGGTTTTGAAAGTGTGCAATTCACACAGCCCCCTTCGCCATGCCTTTCGCTTTGCACGAAAAAGCTTAGAAGAGAAACAAAGGGATCAATGCGTATGAGACTGCTGCGGCACGCTTGAGGCCTGGCGGGTTGGCCGCGCAGGGTTGGTGCCAGTCTTGCAGGGACGCAAGTCATCGAGGCTAAAAAAGATTGCCTTACACAAAAATACAGAAATGGTGATCAGGCCAAAAAGCCGGAACTTCAAAAGTGGGTGTTTCGGGACCCAAAGCGGGGATTTTTCCACCTTCTCACCCCTGAGGCTCAAATGATTCCTCAACGGATTGCACTGAACAGGTCACGGCATGTTGCTCGGCGTTTCGGTGATGAGAACATGGTGATTGTCCTTTTGGTGCCAAAAACAGACGAGCCACCGAGATTGCTAGAATTGGTCACCTTTTTGGTTGGGCGAGAAGAGGCAGGGGGACCGGCCTTCAAGTCGAAATCGGTCCCAAAATGGGTCCAAGGGATTCGACAAAAGTTGCCCCTTAGAACGCCGCATGGTTCAGGGATGCGAGTCTGTCCAGCAGCTCTACGCTCGCATCCCAATGCCCTCTCCCAGCTCCTTTGTCTCTTGGCCAGAAGAGGCGGGAGCTAGCTGAAGACCTCGTTGTCGGAAAGCAAAACGTGTCAGACGGCCAATGCGAGATTGCTATCGAAATGGCCAAAGCTCTGGGCATGCTGCAAGACTGGAGCACTTCATATTATTCCTGGCTATTTCCAGCTGTCGTGCCGGTTGGAGAAGGCGCTGCAAAGGCACCCTGCTCATCGATCCCTTCCTCCAAGGAATGACAACGCGCTTGAAACAGCATGGCCTCAAAGACTCAAAGTGGAAGGGCGGGGCAGTAGCTCGGATCAAAGAGCGCGGGAGAATCTTTGTTTTGGGTTTCGCGGAGCTCGCCCTGGAAAGGACCGCAGGCATTCAAACAAAGCTTTGACAAAATGGTTTGCGGTGCTGCGAAACTAAGGCCGGGGATGCGACGGACTTGATGGGCTTCGATGTCACTCAAACTTCCAAGCGCGTCATGAAGCCCGAGACCTTGAACTGCCAAGTGGCCGCAGTCCTGATCCTTCGCGCCCTGTCCCCTGCCGACCAAGAGCGTCGGACATTAGCTTGCGCGGAGCTGAAGGAGGCGGCGGCGTCTTGGCATCCTTGATTGCGCAAGATTTGGCGCGCAAGGCCTGGCATTTGTCCAGCAAGCCGCAGGCAAGCGACCTGCCTCGATGTCCGCAAGAGGAGATCGAAGTGCAGGTCCTGACAGACAGCGCGAGGATGAGACAAAATTGGGCCCCTTGACTTGCGCCGTTGAGGAAGCTCGCCGGCCGTTCCACACTTCGCCAGGGCACTCAGAGAGAGGCTGTCGCAGCAAAGAGCAGATCCACATCTCAGCCTGGGGCCAAACTCTTGGGTTCTCCTGACGCACGCCGACTTGTGGCTCAGGCTTGAGGCGCGGATGCAACAACCAGTGGGCAAGCAAAAAGAAGCTAAAACGAAACGGTCTCGGAAAATGTGACACACCAGCACCCTGTCAGGTTCCATTTTCATGGATGGGAGCGCAACCGGAAAAGCCTTTTAATGTTGGCGCTTGATTAATAAAGGCCCCCCCCCCTCAACAATGGAGGCGCCCAATTGTACTTTAGTATTGCAGCCACTTCCTTTTTGCAATTCTATTTTGTATTGCAACCACTTCTTCCTGAGCATACTTTTTGGAATATTACTTTTGTATTGCAACCACTTCTTCCTGAGCATACTTTTTGGAATACGAATTACGTTAGTAGCCATTCAAAGGGTGTGCCTTTCAGCCAGGGAGGGCTTGAGCTAGAAAGAAACCAATTGAAAGGGGAATGCTTTTAAGCAAGTGGGCCACCAATTGAGAGGGGAATGCTTTTAAGCAAGTGGGCGACCAATTGAAAGGGGAATGCTTTTAAGTAAGTGGGCCACCAATTTGAAGGGGAATGCTTTTGAGTAGAGCAACTGACAGTTTATTTTCTGAAGGGGCTGGGGGCTTGCAACTAATGTGGTCCCCCTAAAGAATGCCATTGTTGTGGTTCAGTGGAGTCTATGAGGGGCACCCTTGTCCTGATTGTTTTTCCTTTTTTAAAAACACTTTAATAATGATTTTTCCAGTTTCAGGGCTGGGGACGGTTTTCAAATTTCAGAGGCTGGCTTTGGGTTTTGTGTTTGAGCAACCAATTACACAAAAAATGCTTTTAAGCAAGTGGGCGACCAATTGAAAGGGGGGTGCTTTTAAGTAAGTGGGCCACCAATTAAAAGAGGAATGCTTTTGAGTAAAGCAACTGACAGTTTATTTTCTGGAGGGGGCTGGGGGCTTGCAACTAATGTGGTCCCTAAAGAATGCCATTGTTGTGGTTTAGTGGGGTCTGTGAGGGGTACCCTTGTTTGGGCAGGTTTGTGAATTTGTTGGCATTTGGTATGGGGTCAACATGGATTTTAGGTGGTTGTTGGGGGGGGGGGGATGGTTTTTTAAATTTAAAACTGATTTGTGTTTTTTTGAATTTTCCCCCCGAACAAAACACCTTTCAGTTATTCTGGTCCCGCTCAACAATGGGGGCGAACCAGAATAAGGAAAACAACTTTTAGTTATTCAACGACCCCTGATTAATCGGGTGTTAACATTAAACGGCAGTTCTTAAATTTACATGTTGCTTTGTGAGCCTCCGCTGCATATGTGGCTATCACATCCAGGCCCTGAAAAGGAACCTGCCTCAAGGGCCAAACCTGGACCTCCACAAGCATTCTGTGGTCTTTTAGAGATGTCGACTATGGCGTTTACTGGTTCCTTCGGGTAGTCATGATCCAAAGGTCCCTTAGAAAATTTTCCTTTAGGCTTTTAAAGAGGGCTTGATTGACTTCGGTAGAATGCCCGTGACAGAAACCCAAGGGCTCCCTTAACCAGGGTCACCAGGAGCCGGGCTGAGTTGTTAATTACGGGATTTGGACCCACCACTTTTCAACCCAAAGGTGGCCTATATTTTTGGTTTTGGGTTTGAACACGGACAACTGCAGATTCCAACCCAACCCGCAAAATGGATCAGTTGGGCTTTCCGGCTTTGTGATTGTGACCCAAGTTCCCTTGATGCACTTCCTAGGAGCTCGCCTTGACCACAGCCAAGGTGCCTAGGAGCTCGCTTGAATCCGGTCGGCTGGATCGCGGCGGGTCAGGGTTTCAGGTGCAGGGGTTTAGTGAGGGCGAACACATTTGTTTCCATCGAATGCCAAATTAAATGGTTTAGTGGCTTTAGTCAGCTTCAATCGAATGCCAAATGGTTTTGCTCGCTATTTTGTACAGTAAGCAAGTAGCAATAACTCATCTTACCACCCCGCCTTCTTTGGGAAACCCTGAATTGCGGAACACCAACCACTTTTTCCAAAACCTGGCGGTGTGCTCAGGTGGGTGGCAGGAAAAAGTGGTGAATCAAGCGGCGTGTGAGACGTGACATGGTTCCAAAAACCACACCTTGCCCCTTCGCAGAGCTCTGCAAAGAGCACTTTTCAGCAGGGTGGGGCGGGGGAGTTGGAATCCGACCGCGGGCTCCCATCAATTATCCAAACATGTCCTTCAGCTACACGGGTGCTGGGATTTGTTCGTGCTAATTGCAACTGAGCCGTGATTTTCCCATTAATTTCGAGCTAATGACGAGACGAGTGAGTCGCCGTGGCAAAACCTTTTGCTGGTTTCTCCTGGCTTTGGTCGTGGCTTTGCCAAAAGATCATCACGCTTCTTCCGATTCTTTGCTTCCTTCCCATTGACTCAAGCTTGGGCTCGGGCCCAACAGCAATGGCTACGGTTCCTGGTTGTTTCTTCAACACCAACCCATCTGGGCACCCTTCCTCCCACGAACACGGCATTTGTGGAAGGATCCCTGGCAGCTCAAGGCCCCCACCAAAAGAGGGACGCACAGAAGTGGGGGGGCACAGGGTCCGGGTTTGTCGGGTTGGCACCAGGGAAACCACACACACACCCCTTTCCCAGGGAAAAAAACAAAAAGGCGCTCCTTACAGCTGGATGAAGCTAGACTGCAAAATTTCTGGCCACCCTACAAAATCAGGCCTCACCCGCACATGGATGTAATTCCATGTCCCTCTTTATGGGGGAAGCCAGAAAAAGTCGAATTGGGGGATCCCCCACCACCCTCCCCCTTAAGGTAGGGGGTTCAAAATCAGGCCCCAACTTGTGGCCAAACGCCCGAATATTATAACACATGACGAAACGGTTTGTTCGACTGCCATTGGGCGACTGGGGCCTTGCAAAGCATGGAAGTCCCCAACGAGAGGCCGCTTTTGCGTTGCGTGGCTCAAGCTCGGATGGGAGCTAATTGGCCGACAGGTTGTGGCCTTCACGTGTTTTTGGAGGGGAAAAATAGAAACACAAACCCCAAATCCCTCTGCAAAAGGAAATCCTCCAGATCACTGTAGCTATAGACATGAGCACTTTTTGGTAGTTTTCAGGAGCAAATACTTGCCTCGATGTGCCTAGAAAAACAAGGATGGCGAGAGAACTGAGGCAAGCCAACTGAACAATGAAGGATGGCTTTGACTTGAAAAACCCAAGCAAAGCGAAGCCTTTTTTTCCTTTGCAACCACCAAGAGGAGGGGTCCGCAAGGGGCCTTATAAAACATATGACCCCTCGTTGGACCCTTTTCCATCGCCTTTTGACGCCTTGTAAGAGGGACACCAAAAAACGATGTCCGAATTCTGACCACCCCCGCCCCCCACAAAAACTTGACATTGCCCTGGCGACAGGTGTGGGGCACTTTTGTTTTTTGCTTCGACAGCCGCCATGGGTGGCAGCGCATCGCGTGCGCGCGAGCCGTTTCTGGAGGAGTGCCGGTTTTCTCACGTCACTGTGGATAGACAGAATCCGCTTTGCACAGTTCCAGGGTCTCCTCCAAAGTGTGTTCTGTTTTAGGGTAGACTAAATTCTGAAATATAATTTGTGACCAAAGGTCGGTGGTTTATCCCAGTGGTCATAGGGTTTCGGTTTCATTCTCCCACGGTCATCTGCATGCGCCGTCCCACACTCTGAGCCGAACTTTACTGGGTTCCTCCGGCCTGAAGTCAGGGTCTTGAGTTCATTCCCCGAGTTGTGTTTCTGACTTTCGTGATTTGTTTGTTTGCGGTCGCGCGGGCCAGGGCAATCCGCGGGGCTGGACTTTTGTCGCTGCTTTGAGTTTGGACCATTTTCATGGTTGTTGTTGGGAAACATTTTACTTTTTGCTTATGGCGGTTTAGTGGTTGAAATCCCAACTTAACTGCTAAAATGTATATGTTTGCTCCACTTCCAACGTCAACCAAGTTTTAGTGGCAAACCAAGGTCCACAAAATTGTTTTGTTTGTTATAACCATCCACTGGATCGGAAGTGAGGGAGGCGGAGCTAGGGGCTAGCGGTTGCAATTCGATGATCTTGGGACATCGCGAGACCAACCTGTTCAAGTTGGGTCTGATGAGAGAAGCATGAACCCCCACTTGATTTGGGTGAGCTCTGTTTTTGAAGGGCCTGCAGAAAAAAAGAATAAACAAAATGCAAAGTTGTTTGCTACCACGCCAAGGGTTGTAAAGCAACAGAGGTGTCCAGTCCAGTTTGAGGACACCCATGTGTTGGGCTTCAGTTGCATCGACTCACCCCCATCCAGCCGCCAAGAGTTTGTTTGGTCGGGTGTGGGCGGAAGGCTTCTACATGGTTGGTGTCCTTCTGCTATCCGTTGATTCAAGACCTCTCCCCAAAAGGTCTACTCACTCCCTGCGTTCCTGGACTTTACACCTGTTGAGAAGACCATGTGTTTTTGGAACCAAAAAGTTCGGACTTGTTGTTGGCCAATCCACTCACGAAGTGAGTCTTTTGTCGTTTCGAATCATTGCCAGACCCAGCCCAGTTAACCCCCATAGTAGCCAGCCACAGAGTGGTTGAGGGTCCGCAGGATTTGGGAAGGGTTGGGGGGGCTGTTAGGAATACCACCTCTTGTTTTGTTTGGCTTCGTTGCCTCTGTGCATTCTTAGCTGTAACCAGGGCAAAGCCAGCCAAGCGCTTCGTCCCAGACCTACTTCTGGATCCACGAGACTTCACCCCTTGGTCAGGACAGATCTGACCCGCTGAGATGGCTGAGGCGCGACTCTCCGCAAGCCCCCCCTGCAGTGGTTCCAGACGTTCCGCCATGGCTTACATGATGCTTTCTCTAGTGGCGCAACGCGACAAAAAGCACAGGTCAGAATATATGACCTCAAAACAGAGACACACGTGCACGCGTTTTCTCTTGCTGAACAGATCGGGGCTTGTAAAGCTGGTGCTTGCGGTTCCTACCATGGCAGGTAACCAGGGATGCGTACCTCTGGATTCCTCGTACTTGTAATGGAACTGGGCAAATGACATAGATGCAGAAACAATCGGCTTCGGCTTCTCGTTGGTTGCTGTTTGAAGCAAGAGACAACAATTTACCCGCCAAAAAATGGCGCACCCGCATGCTGGGTTCTCAACTTCAACGACCCCACTTGACTGGTCGGGCTCCTCAGAATTTGACAAAGACAGCCACATGGGCAAAACTGTGTGACACTCAGCGGTACTTCCCTGCCACTATAGCAGGTACACTGGTGAAGTTACCGCTTGGTGTTGCCGTGGATGGTTTCCCTGGTTACCTACTGTGGCTTGCCTGGATGCACTGGGGTAAATGTCTGATCAAACACTTAGATTGCTTTAGGTGGCCAATCCACTTCATCGGAAAGAAGGGATGGTCTGGACTCCCTGAAGGTTTACAGACAACCAGTGCTTGGGACAGCACAGCAAAGTGCACCCCTCACATCCATGGTTGTTTTTGGGACACATTTTGCATTTTTGCTTATTGCGGCGTAGTTGAAATCCAAATCCACTGAGCTGCTTCAATTTAAACTCATTTTTGCTCCCCTTCCAACGTCAACCAAGTTATCCGTCGAGGGTTTTTCGCCCGAGGCGCGTGCGTGACGGGTGCTGCAAGTGCACAGTGTACTGCGTCGCAGCGCTGGCCTCAAGGAGCAAAAAGGCGTTGAGAGAAGTCGCTCAGATGTCTTGACACGGGCCAGCAGAGCAACCCGACAGAGGTGCTGGACTTTTGTCGCTGTTTTGGGTTTGGACCATTTTCATGGTTATTGTTGGGAAACATTTTCTCACTTGCCCAAAGCCGACCTTTTGACATTTGGTTTCCATGATTTGGTCCATTTTTAGTCATGCAGACTTGTGTTGTCATCAAAATAGGTGGTACATGGGTGTTCATCCGCCCCAAAATGGAGGCATAGGGTATGACCCACGGCCATATGGTTGCGGTTGTCACAAAGCGGTCACTCCAAAATGGGTTGTCCCATCGGTGCATACCGGTGGCTGAATTTTGGATCCATACACACACGAAGGAAAACCCCAAAGTGAAGCAAGTTGAACACGGCAAAACGTTGGGACAGCAGTGGGACGCGGCAATACTCCGTCTGAGGCGCTGCTTTTGGTCTTTTGTACCTACCTGGCGCTGCTGTCCTGTATCACCTTCATCCTTTCCGAGGCGTTCCGTGGGATGCGGAATGTTCAGGTGTGTGTGTGTGTGTGTGTGTGTCGCTTTTTTCGGGGAACCGCCCCCCCCAGGCCGCCAAATGGGTGTGTCACTTTTTAGGGACCCCCCCAAGAAAAAACAGAGGTGAGTTTCCCGTGGTTTCCCTTTAGAGCACCTCACAGAAAGGGGTACCCACAAAACACACCGAAATGGTGGTGTTCACTTTGGCTCCCTTCAAAACCACAACAGGAAGGTGCCCACAAGAAAAGACACCCCAGGTGAGTTACCCGGTAAGGTTAGTAAGGGACAGTCCCAACCAGAAATAGGTTCAAATATCCGGCCTTGTAATTCTTTCCCATAGATTATGCATATTTGAATCACCAGGATTTTTTTTGTTACGTGTAGGTGTTCGGAAGGAAGGTGGTGAAACATTGAACGAATGGCGCATGGTAATTTCCAGGTATTCCTTGTTCCCCACCTTGCAACATTTTGGGTTGTGTCAAAATAACAGGCGAACCCCCAAACAACAGCTCTTGGTTGTCCTTGCAGTTTCCTATCAAAACTACCCCACAAATTCTCAAAAGATCACCTGTATCCACGGGTTTGGGTAGCAGCCTCGCGTGTTTCGGCTTGCAGACCCAGTCCTTTTCGCCTTTTAGTATGGCTGGTGATAAGGCCGACCTAAAGCAGCTGCGTATTCTTCCATTTGTTAAATGAATCTGTTATATTTTTTGCCTGGCTTTACAGGGATTCTATCACTACATAGACATATAGTTGTTGTTGTTCCCTGTTTTTTTTGCAGGCGACTTGAGCGAATAGAAGTACTTTCCAAGAGTTTTATTTGCTGCGCTGCGGTGGAACTCTTATCGGGCTCTGTGTTTCCGAGGGTGCCTATTTGTGTACGCTCCAAATTGCAAGTCTATTGCCCATTGGGCAGGGACATGGGGAACTCACGCAATTCGAGAAACAAGCACCACCCAGTTAATCCAAGTTACCACTATAACAGGTCACTCACGAAATTCGAGAAACAAAAAAACAGATGATCCAATGCACCACTATAACAGGTCACCAGTCCTTTCCCTTTTGGTTTTTGAGGTGTGGTTCTCTTGGTTGCCCGGGAAATGGATCCGCTGGGCCAGAGGACTCGCCTTGGCCAGAGGCTCAGCTGCCGGCCCGGGTCCGCCCAGAGAAGCGAGAGAGAGGCACTGTCAAAAAGAACCTGCAGCGAACAAGCCATGTAAAAAAAAAAAAACACTGGGCCAAAAATTCAATTAATCAAGTATAAAGATACATTACATATATATATATATGTTCACATGCGTACACAAATAGTACTTGCACACATGTTTATGTATATGTTCACATGCGTGCATTTATTATTTGCACACGGAGAGGCCGAGGTGTGCCTCATTCCCTTTGTCTCTTCGCTTCTCCGCGGCGCTCGGCGCCACCCTCGCGCCGCCATGGGCACGGCCGCTTCGCGCTTCGGCGGGTCCCGCGGGCGGCTGCTGGCGCTGCTGGGGGACTCGACCATCGACAACGGGCGGTGGGTGGCACAGGGCGAGCCCTCGGTGACGGACCAGGCGACGGCAAGGGCGGAGGTCTAAGTGGGTTGGAGGTGGCGAATCTGTGGATCCGCCAGTTTGGGATATGAAAAGAGTACGAAAAAGAAATACTAAAAAGAAACAACGGGGGGCAAGGGGAACCCTAAGCAAAATGGTTTTCCTTTTCAGGTTTCCCTGTAAACCACCCCGACATCCTTGATTCGCCAGGTGAGCGCGCTGGAGCCGTGCGTCATGTGCGCCAGGGATGGTGCCATGTGCCTTGGTCGGCGTCCGCGTTGCCAAGGAACCCACCAGGGTACTGGCCCCTTTTAGCAAGGTTGTTGTTGGGAAACATTTTACATTTTTGCCTATCGTGGTTTAGTGGTTGAAATCCCCACTTAACTGCTAACATTTACAGTCTTGCTCCGCTTGCAACGTCAACCAAGTTAAAGGGAAAACGACCCCAAGCCAGGACGTGAGGTTCGATATGTGGGTGGGAGGGAATCTGCTTGATCGGGGTCATCCAGGTGTACGGTGCAAGTCATTTGCTTCCCGAAAAGGACGCAGCCCGTTGCTGGTGAGACTTCCTTCCCAAGGGTCCCCTTGTGGGAAAAGGATGCCAGTTTATATTATTTTTTGGTGCACCTGCACCCCAGATCAGAAAAGGTCCGTTGCAACTAGTGGGTTCCTTTTGACCTTCTGAGGATGGCTGTTGAGAGGTCAAAAGGGTCCTTCAGTACGTCCTTAGAAGGTACTTGGACTTTCTGGGTAAGTGAAACAACAATTGATGATTGCTCCAACTCGTGCAACGCCAAAAGCATGAGCAACTGATAGCTGTATAAATATTTGTTAAACAAAAAAGAAGAGGAGAGAACCCATTAAAAAAGAAAGGACACGCCCAATGGAACAGCTTCGATTTCGGAAGGATCGCCGCCATCGCGGGCCAGCTGCCGACCGCGCCGGCGGAAGCCACCCACTTCGTGGTGTCCGTCGGGGGCAACGACGCCACCGGGGCGCCTTGGAAGCCGCCGGGAGTCGGGAGGCTGGGTGCTGCTCCGGTGGCTCGGCGTTTCAAGAATCACTCGGTCCCCCAGGAGTGCCCTTTTACCTCTTTTTTTAGGGGGGGAAAAGTCCTCTACTAAAATAGACTATATAGAAAAAAGGGTACCCTTAGTCTAACCTCTCTACTGGAGGACCTAGAGCCCTGAAAATGGTGCTCGTTCGTTCGGTTTTGCATTAAAACCACCAACAAAGGGGTGAAAACTGACACACCCTCATGATGGTTGGCCAAACAGGTTTTTTGTGTTTGTTGGACCTTTTCGTGACGTGACCCTCATCAAACGAGGAAATGACAGGGCTTGAGGCTCCAAAATTGGGCCCCGTCTCCTTTTGAAGAAGCCTCAAATGGCGTGCAATGCCGGAACTTTGGCATGTCACCCGAGAGCCCCCAAGCATTCAGGCTTCCCACGCCCTCCCCGCAAGTGGACCTTCCTCGCCCTTCCTTCGCGAAATTGGTGACCGCAAATTAAATCAACCCCAGTTTATGAATAGGGGGGGTGTTTCCCTGCGAAAGTCGTGATTCCTCACAAAACCTAGGGACACCCGCCTATGTGTTTGATTAATATGGCTGTGGGTCAAAACCCAGTGAACATCCCAACCCCCACTAAAATAGGGAACCTAAAATGGGTGGTGAATTCACCTACCCCAAAATGGGATCCCATGGGTTTTGACCCACGGCCGTATGAAGGCTCCACCCCCGCCGTGGATGAGCGCCGGTCGGGATCCGAGGCGACCACGACGGTGCTGGGTGGGCAGGTGAACTCGGCGGAGGAGGCGTGGATCGATTCGCGGCGTTTTGCGACTGAGGGAAGCCTCAAGATGGCTGCGCGTGTTCTTTCCTAGGTCTCCCAGCCAGGTGCCCTTCTCACCCCTTTTTTGGGGGAGGACAGAAAAAAGTTGGTACCCTTATTCTACCCTCTCTACTGGAGGGCCTAGTTTCGTTCTTTCGAAGTTACCCTCTTGCCAGCCAGCAATCATGTGGTTGGGCCTACAGAGAAGCTTGCCTTCCAGAATGCTCCTGTCCACTTTGCTGAGGCTTGGACAGCGGGCAATGCTGTCTGATCAATGCACCCCTCAATTCTGAAATTTACCCAGAAAGTCTCTTGGTACCTTCTGAGGGAACGTTTGAGGGGTCAAAAGGGGTCGTTCAGTACGTTTTTGTCGGTACCAAGGGACCCTCTGGGTAACAACCCTGGTTAAGCCTTCAAGCTGGTGCCCTTCTTTCGGATGAAATTTGTTTGAAGTTGTGGGCTTCGGCCGCCCAGAGGGTACCTCAGAAACTGTGGATTTCAGGCATTTGCTGACCAACACCCAGAGCCGTAAAAGTAGGGAACCAAGGGACTGGGTGAGGTCAGTTTTTTTTGGGGGGGGTCAAAACCGAGTTGCGTTGAAATTGGGGAAACCCAAAACCATCTGGATGGTGGGTCAACCTTCGGCTGGCAAAACCGCGCTTCCGCGAGGCGCTCTGCCGGCTGCACACCTTCGCGCAGGCCTTTGAGGCGCAAAAAAAGACCCCCCCCCCTTCCCGAAAAAGGTGCCACGCCGGGGTGAAGGTTGGAGGGCAGAAAACTGCAGGTGTCTGTGGTTTGTGTTTGTTTCTTCTTCTTCCTCTTTTTTTTTTTGGGGGGGGGGGCAGACTGCAAGTCCAGTCGTGTTCGGGGGTGGTGCGGGCTGGTTGGGGTGGAGGTAGTGGCAGTTTTGTGGCTTGGCGTGCTGTCAGCGAATATTAAGTTAATCAAAGGCGAAGAACAAGTTGCGCTTGTGTTCTCGCTTTGGGCTTCGGCGAGTTTCAATGTTCAATCAGATCTATCACGGGGCTAAAGTAGACCGCTTGGAGAGTCGGTGGTGTTCATCTCGGGTGAACCAGGTGTGCAATGAAAACTTGGGTAAAGTGCAGGGGAAGGGACAATCCCAACAGGTGCAGATGTTTGCCCTTTGTACTTACAGCATATCTTTAGGTAGACCACTTACTTTACAAGATATTGATTATGACTGGAACGATTTTGAGGATGAGAACATGAGCAAAACGGCCTTACGGGCTTCTCTGGGAAAAGCAGTGCAAGGTCAACATTCACCTCTGCAAGTTAACATGCAACCCGAGCATTGTTTTCAGCGGAATCTGTTGTTTTCGGGCCTCACATTTACTAGTTTGCAGGGGAATGGCAAGATATTGTGGCTCACATGCCACAATGCGAAAAGTTCATTCGGACGGTTGCGTATCTTTTGCGTTCTGATGGAAGGATCCTTGGGGCACTCCTGTTAATTACAAGGGATGTGCATTGTTTTTTTGTTTTTTTTAATGCTCGAATTGGTTTGTGCTGTTCCGAAATAGACTTACAGCTATCATGTGCTCATGAGTTGGAGCAATCATGAATTGTTGTTTCACTTACCCAGAAATTCCAAGTACCTTCTAAGGACGTACTGAACGACCCCTTTTCACCCCTCAAAAGCAATCCTCAGAAGGTACTTGAACCCTCTGGGTTAATGTGCTTTCGGACACAACATTGTTGTTGTTACATTGTTGGGAAATGTTTCTTTTTTTTACATTTTTGCTTATTGTGGTTGAGTGGTTGAAATCCCCACTGACCTGCTAAAAGTTGAAGATGTTTGCTCCCCTTCCAAGGTCAACAAAGATAAGTTCCGTTGCGCGTGCCAGGTTTCGACGAAAAAGCAAAACCGTGGCAGGTGGAGTTCGCAGCAGCGATGCAGCATGTTGTGCGCTCCATCGGTGACCGGCACCTGGTGATTTGCTCCTGCTACTTGCCGGCATTTGAGTCTAAGGTCCTGCAACCATGTTGTTCTAGGGGTAGCTTCCATGTCCATTCTTTCCAGGGGATCCGAATCTTTTCAGGACACCAAACACACCCAGGGAAACGGATCCGGTTTTTGAAAAGAACGAAGGTTCAAAAGAATGGGGAATCAACTCCTAGAGTTGCGGGGAAAGCAATGGCAACCACCACATGGCTTGCCCCGGTAAATGTCAACATGGACTAAAACCTGCTGTCCATGTCCTGCGGTTGAATTTTGACCCAGAGCCACATACTCTTCCAGGAACCCCTTTGCAGGGTCATAAATCCCGGGTCATAGTGGCGAAACCCAATAAGGAAAGCACTGGCCGCATCTGAGATGATTTAAAACCAGGGCTGGCGACATCAGAAGTCCGGTGGGTGCCGATTCATCTAATTCCATGCGCCGAATTAAAAATTAAAAATTCCCAGTAAAGGGCCTTTATCATGGCTTTCGCTCGTTCTACCCCAGCTCATCCGTGAGCTCGCCAGAAGATCGGCAGAAAGTCATGTCCGTCCAGCCAGCCACTTGTGGTGGGTGGCACCGCTTATTTGACGAGTTCCGTTGAACCAGACCCAAAATCATCAATATGGGCTTCTTGGAGATCTGGGTGGGGGGTTCAACCGCCCAAAAAGGAGTTGTCGTTCAAGGCTACAACCCCTGCTTCGCGCCCTTCGACGTGCAGACCGTTCAACAAGGGCCGGCCACTTGGGATGGAAACAAACGGGAGAGCATTGGAACTCGTGGCTGCTGGTGCTGTTTGGAAAAAACCTCGCTCCCTAAGTTCCGTTTCAGCCCCTGCTTCTGGTACACGTAAATGGGAAACCACCCCAAACCACCAAGCCACCCGGCTCCAAACCACCAATCCTAGGGCTTCGCCATCACCAGCTGCGCTGGTCGGCTGCAGGGGTTGCTCCAACGTCTCCCACTCACCCACACACACACACACACACCCCACCCTTCACCGCCCACCACTCACACCACCCACCCACCCACACCCACCCACCCAGCCCCCCACCCACGCCCACCCACACCCGCCCACACCCACCCACACCCGCCCCCACGCCCACCCACCCACCCACCCAGCCCGCCCGCCCGCCCACCCACCCACCCACCCACCCACCCATTAACATTCAAAAGCTGGGCATTGAATTCACACACAGGGGGATATTGAGCTCACAACTTTCCCCCCGAAAATGAGGGGACTCACAACTTGTCCCATCCTTGAGCATAGCTTGGCTGTGGTTCATTGAGGAATGTGTCAAGCCGAGTTGGCTCAATTCGGGTTGAAACAAAAGAACATGGATCACAGCTTGCAGCTCGGCAAGCACAGGACAGTCATATCTCAGACATGCAGCGAGGTTAGTGTCGGAGAAAGGAGCAGCAAGCGTATATATTTGGGGCACAGCCAACATGTCCACTGCCTGGACGTTTGTATAGGTCTTGGTACGATGATCCTTCACGTGCGAGTTGCTTAGTAGACACGCTGCGGAGTTGCATCCGGCTTTTCAACCAGGAGATTGCATGTCCCTCAAAGCCGGAAATATGCTCGAGCAACAGGAAGAGTTAGCAAAGATTCTACGAAGGTCTTTTGACCACATTTGGCAAACTAAGACCAATCAAAGATTCCAGGAACATGTTTTGCTGGTAGCTGCATCATGGCAGTATGCCTTTCATGGCTTGTATTCCATCGCCGTGTGCGCAGGCGTTCGTGTTTGCGCGCGTGTGTGTGTGTGCGTGTGTGCTCGTGTGCTCGTGTGCGCCGCGCGCGCGCGCGCGCGCGCCGCACGTGCGTGGCGCGGACCTAGCCAAGTCACCCTCCGGGGAAGCCCCACATTTCTCCCATCCCAAGGCGAACCTGGCCATGGCGCTGCTGGCGGATGCGGTGCTGCGTGTGGCCACGCGCCTGCGAGTGCCGGTGATCGACCTGCGCCGGGTGATGACGGAGGCGCGGATCGGAGGGCGGTTTTTCGTCGGCTCGGAGAGTCCCAGACGAGGTAAGAATACCCGTCCCGGAAATCGAGGGAAACCATCCACGGTAAAACCTAGAAACGTACCTGTCCCCGTGAATTTCATGTCCTGATAACTAAGGGATTTGTAGAAACAAAATGACACTAGCTGCTTACCAACTGGGATCCACCGGGACACCTTTCTAGAGTTTGGTTCCCCATTCTATTTACTTTTTGTTTAACTCGATGTGCCTGCTGAACAGCGGGAAATGAAACTTATCCTCTGAGTTGGCAGGTTTTAAACTGTTTTCCCATGATTTGGGTTTGGCGCAAACAAAAATACTCAGCCGGGTTACGCGGGCAATAGTCTTTGTTCCCATGCACCAAGATGCCATTCCAATATTCCATGTTTTGAGCCACAGCCCAGCCATTTGGGTGCATGGTGGTGGAAAACCGGGCTTTGCCACCTGTGGGCCACTTGTTTTAAGGGAGTTCGACAAGGTAGCGGGAAGCTTCGCTTGCCGCGCCTCTGTAGACCACCACGTTTGGGTCCATGTGTCCGCAAGACTGAGATCCACCCGTGTGTCTCACAATTGGAATCCCCTCAAAGGGTTCTTGGCTTGTCCTTGGCTTGTCCTTGGCTTCTCCTTAGTTTGTGCTTGGTTTGTCCTTTGTTTCGCCTTCGCTGTCCTTTTGAAGGTAGCCCAAAGGGCGACGAACCCAGAATTGGATGTATACAGGTTCTTGCACTGGGCTTGGTTTCCATATGGCATCAAGACGAACCCCTCGTCTCCACTTTGGACACGATCTCTACATTTCAGGGCTCAGTCACATACCCCAACTTCAGTAGGCACCCCTGAGATATGGTTGTGGGTCAAAAACAGTAGCCAAAATGGAACCCTGGTAAATGGAAACAAGGACCAAAACCTGGGGTTTCGGGTGATCCCCTTACACCTATATCCTATATCCCTCCAGGTTTGCACCCCGAGTTATAGTGAAATTCACAGTGCACGGAATGGTGGCTCCCAGCCAGCCATCCTCTTCTTTTGTTAGCCTTTCAGTGTTTAGTGGGGATTTCCATTTAACCCACTAAAAGTTAAACTGTTAGCGGGGGATCTGAGAACAGCCCAGGTTATTACCCTTTGCTTGGATGCAGCGTACTTTGCACGCAGGTTATGACTTATAATGCGTGTCCAATCATAATGGTAGGTCAACCAGTCCCTGTTGTACCACTTTTTACCATGAGTCTAAGTTATAATCATGCTGCACGTCCGAGTAATGGGATCCGACTTTGATCAGTGTCTCATTTTAGAGGATACTCTACTTTTTGGGGATTCACCTGCTTATGGCTGTGTCTGAAAATGCAGAGAACCTCTTCAAATGGCGGGGTTCCTTTTGGTGTCCCTTCAAAACGCACCGCAAAAAGGGTCGCGGGCCTCCAAAAACGCACATCAAATCCGCGAGGTTCTGCTCAATTCTAGCGGTTGGGCTCGGTCAGGTGGGGGGGTCAGGTTCCCCAATTGGCTCGTTTTTGTTGAGGCTCGTTGTGAAAACAAAAAGGAAGAAGACCAGGCAGTCCCCTATTTTACACACCCAAGTACTCCAGGCATAGGTGTCCTTTTTGGTTGTTTTGGTAGCAAAATGGATGGCCCTGGTTTACCTGGTGGTTTAATCATCTACCAGGGCCATCTATTTCCCTAAAACTTTGTTGTTGTTGGGACACATTTTGCATTTTTGCTTATCGTGGTTTAGCGGTTGAAATCCAACTACTTAACTGCTAAAATTTGAAGATTGTTGCTCCCCAAACCCAACGTCAACCAAGAAAAGGACACCCAAGTACTCCAGGCATAGGTGTCCTTTTTGGTTGTTTTGGTAGAAAAATGGATGGTCCTGGTGGTGTAAATCATCTACCAGGGCCATCTATTTTCCCTAAACGGACAAGAACTCCAGCTGAATTTCCGGTATCAGGTCGAGGACTTCGCCAATCCCATCGAGCCCAGCAGCCGCGGCGGCTTGAAGATCGCCCAGGCCATCGTTGAGGCGGATCGGACGCGCGGGGGCGTGTTTTGTGGGCAGACTGTGGATGGACGAAATCCGAAAACACACCACGAAATGAAACCACGTGTGAAACCATTTGTTTGTTAATATGTTTCAGAAAAATCGTCGTTCCAGGGTTTCTTAGGTGGTGCGAAATGGATTTCGTCCATTCACACTAGGTGTCTGTTTTGAGGTTAGTTTGGTTTGGAATAGATAAGTACCTGTGCTTGTGGGGGTGTCTAACAATAGGGGAACCTCCAAACTGGTTGTTTGTCCTTTTGATTTCTTGTAGAACCCCCCCCCCCATTTTTGGGACCCTCAAAGAAAGACAAAGCCACTCTTGCTTTGCGATGACAGCTCGGCGGAACTGATCCTGGTCGCAAAATCCTCTTGGGTTGGACAAGGTTCTCCTTTCACCTCAACCAACGAAGCTCCCCAGGCCCATTCTCGTCCCACACCTCACTCCCTGAGTTCCTTCAACTTTTCTTTGAAAAGTTGTTGTTTGGTTCTCGGCAACAACAATGAGCCGGAATGATGACCCAGAGAAGAAGCCATCCCCGAGTTGGTTTCCTTTACTCGGGAATTGTCAATCGGCTTTGAAGTGAAATGGGCTGGAGTTTGGGTCTGCCAGGGGCTCGCCGGGCTCTCAGTGAACTCCCTTGGTTTGCTCCCAAGGTTTCACCTAACCAGACCAAGTGAAGGGTGCACTGGGCCGCCTTTGGTTTTTTTTTTTTTTTAAGAAAAAAAAAGAACAGGAAAAAAACAACATAGAGGGCGCGGTTAAAAACCTTTGGGGGTTGACATCCCTCAATTTTCAGCAATCCCGAGCGGCCAAGTAGACTGGCCCAGTGAACACTTCATCTAGCATGTCTCATACCCTCCCTCCCAGACTCATGCAAGCTGACCATAGGAGGGTTTTGGACAACGAAAGCCTTCCTTTTTTGGGGAAGCCCCCAATCGCCCGCTTCCATGTTTGTTGGCAAGAGGGCACTGTGGAATTGTACCTAGTTTCATTGGGATAGGTACGCCTGTATACACCTTAACCATGTTGGCAGAAATTAAACGGTTCTTGGGTACTTACACGAAATAGAGTTGCGCCATCTTTCACCCAACCGTCGACTGGGCGGTCCCTTTCAAACACCCCCCCTTGGCTCGCCAGGTGGTAAGGCACCACGACTTCACTGCCGGCACCGCAGTGTACCCACGAGACTACCCCGAGTCGGAGCTTGTGAGGCCCGGAGCCAAGGCAAAACTTGACCTCGCTCGACCTGGGCACGTCCTAAGAACCGCCAAACATCTTCGGAAACCCTCGAATCGCCCAAGGCGACCTTTTCCTCACCTGAAAGTTCCACACAGCAGTTAATTACCCAGAGGGTCCAAGTACCGTCTGAGGATGGCTTTTCAGGGGTCAAAAGGGGTCCTTCAGTACGTCCTTAGAAGGTACCAGGGGACCCTCTGGGTAAAAGGTGGGGAATCGGGAAAGCAGCATGCAAGCCCATGCTCGCGCGTTCGGAGTTTGCAGGTTGGCGATGCCCAGTGCTCAGCAGCTGGCCAACAAGGGCAGCTCGGCAGCCAAGAGATGCTGCCATCCCGAGGCTGCGTCTTCCGAGGGGTCCAAGGTGTTTGTTCCATGGGACCAAGAAGAAAGACTATGACCAAGCCAAAGACTTGCGAGAGGATCCAGGCAAACAGGTGGATACCGGACATGTTGCAAGGGAAACAAGCAGAACACGGGGAACCATTTAATTGCAAGGGTTCGGTGGTTGGGCGTTGTTGGTTCCCTTGCAACATTTAGGGCACATGTACCAGTTGCAACTGAATATCGTGGCTGAACATAAATTTCGATAATAATAATGATAAAACAAACAAATCGGTTGAGACTTTCCCCCTGTTCAACTTTTGGTGGAGAGACCCGTTAAAATCCTGGGCCCTCCCCAATTTTCTTCCCTCCGCTGGTCTCCCCCAAAATTATGTGAGATTCCTAAGGGTATAGGTACAAGTGGGGTGGTAGCTGAGAGCCTCAGGATCCCTCAGGGTTGCCTAAGGAGCCTTAGGGACTCCCTAAAACTAAGTCGCTTTCAGCCAGAACATCTTCGGCAATTTGGTTTGGAAACCACTGGAAGTGGGGCGGGCTGGGACCGCGGAAAACGAGGCCGGAACATGTTTCTTCAGGGTGGGGTCTCAAAACAAGGGGGCCAGACTTCTTAAAGGACTTTTAGTTCGATGTCAAGTTGTTCGTTGTTATTTTTGTGTGTGTGTGTTATATATATATACACAGGTAATCATGATCAAAGGACTGTTCACAATGACACAGATGTCAATGCACGATCCCTATCCCCTAGGTGCAAGATAGGGCAGTGAGCTTGCATGCTATAGCGCAAAGCAAGTGGGGATTATAGAGTGTAATCAGTTTTGACCAGGGCAGATTTACGTGGATGTTCAACCAATATAGATCGTAGCCATGTTGGTGAGTATTGGTGAGTGGGACAACAGGTGGGTTGATGTATAACCGTGGTTACAACCTGGATACCCAAAAGACCTTCAAGAGGTTAATAAGCCTAAAGCGAAATATTGCGACAACAAGAAGGGGCCTAAGAACTCATAGAACCCCTCCGAGCGAGGCATGGTGCACGATCAGCAGCAAGCACTATCCGCCGCCGCCTCCCTGCGCGGGTGATCGACGGCGCGTTCGAATCGAAGGTGCCGCAGCTGCGCCCAGTTCTTGCTCGCCTTTGGGGTTGGTTGAGAGGGAAACCAAAGCGACTTTTTGGTGCTCGGTAGGGAATGAGATGAGCCTTTAAAGGAAACCACCAGAGGCATGGCTTTTCTCTTCACTCAGAGATGTGTTCTCATCTTATGAAGCTCTGAGGATCCAACGGGAAGTTGGGGTGCTCCTGGTTTTTTCTGCCTGGACCGCCTGGACCCACCCTGAAAAAAATGGAGAAAACACTCATGTTCTGAGGCAGTAACCCATGTTTAAAGGTAGTTTGAGGGTTATGGTGGTCGTGTGTGTTCCAACCAGAACTCAGGTGCGCCAAATTTGAAACCTTAAAACGAGGATCGTCCCAACCATCAAAAGAAGCAGTCGCTTGTGTGATTGCCTTCGTCAGGACTCAGCTTGCTCTTCCCAATCATTTGTGTGCGTGTGTGCCAACACAGAGCATCCCCAAGATGGATTTTCGGTTTTCCCTTTGGCTTCCCTTTCAACCGAACACTCCTCAACAAACCACACACCCAACTCAGTGCCTCTTTTTTCACACGTCGCCTCCGTTGGCCTGTCCGTCGCGCAGGTCTGTTGCTACCGATTCATTTGGCGGACGCTGGCGACTCTGTACAGTACAGCCGGCTGCCTCTTTGCAGATTCTGCAGGGTTGGGCCACAGTTGATGTTCCTGCTTCGCATTTGAAAGCAAATGAGCCGGTAGACCATGTCGTGTTTTTGCTTCGGACTTGGCGCAACCCTGCCTTCCTGCCAGTGGGCTTGCAGCTCGCCCGGACGGTCGGGAAAACACATCGATGTTTGCAGTGCCGGACTTGCATCCATGATAAAAAAAAGAAAAAAGAAAAAAGAACCAGGTGCGTCTGTCATGGTTTGAGTGTACCCCGCCTTGGTTGTTCATAGGGAAACTAGGAGGAAAACCACAATTTGGGGGGAGTCCCCTAAAAACAGACACACCCAGGTACTTTGTTCTCACTTACAACGAGAGAGAGTCGACTTGGCAAACCTTTTGGTTTTCCAAGTTGGTCCTCTTTTTAGGCATGCATGGAGACAACCACTTCCTGGGCAGTAACCACAGAGCTTCCTTTGGTAATTGGAAGCACTGGGTTAGCTTGTCCACCTGAAAGAAGATTGGTGCGTTCGAGGTTTATGTGGTCTTTGCACCGAGCTTACCTGGGGCCTCCCTCAAGAAATGCTTGATATTTTATGATGGAGCACAAGTATTCAATGTGAGTCTGGGTGTACTCCTGCTGGCCAGGTTACCTTGTTGAGAAACTGTTGCTTGTTGGCATAGGTGTCCTTTTCAGTTTAGTTTGGTAGAAAGAGATGGCACTGGTTTAGGATGTTTTCTATTTACCAGGGCCATCTGCATCTTCTTTACCACAACCAGGTCCGGACGTTTAGCCTGCTTGTTGGTGAGGGATAAGGCAAAATGAACAAAGCAAGAGCAAAACGGGCTCCAACAGGAGGATTTGTTTCATCACACATCAGGCCAAAAGTTGAGAACTGTTTGCCAAGGATCAACGAATTGGATGGAGGGCATGGCAGTCGCTCAGGGCAAGATGAAAAGCGATCCCCAAAAAAAGTTGCTGCGCGCAAGCGCCTTGAATGGTTTGCTGAAGGGCTGACCCGAAAAACCTGGCGTGGGAGGGTCGTCGGGATGTCGCAGCCGCCTTCTTAGCGTTTAGGGCATGGACATGGGAAGAATTCTTGGAGGGTCTGTTTGCGCTTGATGCTGCAAAGTTGCTGGATATCCTGAGTTACAGGTTTGGATTGGCAGCTTGGGGTTTTGAACCCCTGGTTCTACAGGGTAACCGGAGCAAATTCAATCCACCAATCTAAGCCTCCAGTGAGCGGGAAGCTGATGCGTCCTTTTTGGAGGATGGGTGTCCCTTTAAAAGCAAGCCCCCAAACAGAAAGGCCACGAGTTTCAGGTTGGATTTTGCTTAATCCTTTGCCGCACTGAGAGCTGCAGGCACGGCTAAAAACCAGCCTCCAGCCGACAGGCGCGCCACCCCGACGTATGCGTATCTGTACGTGATGGTTTGCTTTGTGGTGCGTTGTTTGTTTGTGTGTTGTTGTTTGTCTCTTTATTTGTTTGTTTGTTCCTCTATTTGTTTTTGTTTGTTTGTTTGAGTGTCTCTGTGTTTGGGTCTCTGCGTCTGTGTGTTTCTGTGTCTTTGTCTGTCTGTGTGTTTGGGTCTCTGTGTCTGTGTGTTTCTGTGTCTTTCTTTGTTTGTGTGTTTGTCTCTGTGCCTGCCCGCCTGCCCGCCGGCATGCTGGCCTGCCTACCTGCCTGCCTGCCTGCCTGCCTGCTTGCTTGCTTGCTTGCTTGCTTGCTTGCTTGCTTGCTTGCTTGCCTGCTTGCTTGCTTGCTTGCTTGCTTGCTTGCTTGCTTGCTTGCCTGTGTGCTTGCTTGCATGTTTTGGGTGTTTGCTTAGTTGTCTTGCGTTTGATTGTTTCTGTTTGCTTGCTTGCTTGCTTGCTTGTTTGTTTGTTTATTTGTTTGTTTGTTTGTTTGGTTGGTTTTATTTGCTTGTTGGTTCGTTCGGTCGCTCCTTCGTTCGGTTGTTTGTTTGTTTATATCTGCGTGTTTGTATGTTGGTTTGTCTGTTTCTCTGTCTGCTTGTTTGTCTTTTTATCTGTCTGTTTGTTTGGTTGGTTGATTGGCTTCGTTGTTTGTGTGATTGTTTGTTTGTTTGTTTGTGTGTTTGTTCGTTCCTTGGTTCGTTCGTTCGCTCGCTCCCTCGCTCGCTCCCTCGCTCGCTTGCTTGCTTGCTTGTTTGCTTGCTTGCTTGCTTGTTTGTTTGTTTGTGTGTGTGTTTGTGTATTTGTGTGTGTGTGTCTTTGTATCTTGTGCATTTTTACGCACGTATCTCTTACTTTATTGTTTCCTTCATTTCGTTCTTAGTTTGTTTATTTCTTTCGTTGGTTGTTTCTGAATTTGTTTATTTACCTACGATTTCTTTGTTTGTTTCCCATGTTCGTATTTACTAGTTGTTGTTTTATCGCTGTATGCAATTATTTCAGTTGTTTCTGTGTGATGTATTTCTTTATTGATGTGTTTTATGTCTGTCTTTATTTTCGTGCTTTCGTACTTTCTTTCGTTATTGTGTGTCTTTCTTCGTTTCTTTCTGCCTTTCTTACTGTCTGTCTGTCTTTCTTTCTTTCATTCATTCTTTCTTTCTTTCTTTCTTTCTTTCTGTTGTTCTTCGTGTATTTATTTGTTTGTTTCATGCCTGTTTTCTTTTCGTGCTTGTTTGTTTGTTTGTTTCGTTGTTTGTTTGTTTGTTGGTTGGTTGGTTTGATTTGCTTTGCTTTGCTTTGCTTTGCTTTGCTTTGCTTTGCTTTGCTTTGCTTTGCTTTGCTTTGTTGTTGGCTTGCTGGCCTGTGGGTTTGTTTTTTGCTGGGAATACCCTTTTGGGCTTGGCATGCAACATGCAGCAGGCAACGAAAGAGGGAGCTGGATTGCTCCGAACCTCAAAACAATCAAACCCAAAAAGGTTGAACGTTACGATTGGGTCCTTTCGTTTCCTCTCATTTGGCACCATTAGGACCATTAGGATGTCCTGTGTGCTTGTGACTCAAAGCAACTAGCAGACCTCACTCCCCTGTGTTTGTGGCCCTTGAAAGTGATGCCGCAAATCTTCAAGAATCTGGTCAATTCTTTCCCGAACTCACCTTTATTTCCAGTTTGGGAATTACGGCAACTTGCCCAGACGAGTGTGGCTGTGTCCTTGAGGCGCGGCGTTTAAAGAGGCGCCCGCTCGGAATCTCGCCAGGTTTTGATACCTGCCAGCAGGAGACAGGTGGCAGCTGCCACCTCTTTGGCTGTGAGGACTGGGGGGGCATGTATGCATGCTCATGCTCATGTTGATTGCTAGATTCAAGAGATTTTTTTTTGCAAATTTCCAGCACCCAGTGGAAGAATTTGTGCCACCTCAGCATGTTAAATGTCGCTGGGGGTCTCCTCCCAAGCCAAACCAATTGAATACCAGGTCCCCCAGCTAGGTGCCCTTTTTAACCCCTTTTTTGGTTGGGAGGAAAAATCGGCTACAGAAAAAAGAAACGGTACCCTTCTTCTAACCTCACTGGTGGACCTAGAAGTGCATCAGGTTGAAGTGGAGTGCGGTGCTGATTCAGCATTGGGGGTTGTTGCTAGACTGTATCGGAGGAACATGGGGCCTCTGAGCCCATCTTATCAGACTCTGAAACCGAAGCTGCCAAGAGAACGCGGTGTATTTCACTTGATGCTTGGAGATGTGTTTCTTAGTTTCAGGCTGTGATACCTGCGAACATCTAAATCACAAGGAGCCCGCCCTGGGTCAGGGTGAAGGTCTTTAGGAGTTTGATCAAGTGCGGTTGGGGAGGAGAAACTAGAGCAGATAGTCTGAGTGGAGGAGCCGTTGGGCTTGCCCCAAATATTGGAACACAGATTTCCAAGAGGTGGGCAAGGGGCTGGCGCCAAAGGGAAATTAGTTGTCCAAAACTCTCCTCTCAGCTTCCTTGCTTAAAGTGCGGGTATTCACGACAAGTCGTTCCTTCACAGACCTCATTGAAACAGAACAGACCTCACCATGCCCAGGGTCACTAGCCGGGATTGGGGCCAGCCAGTCCTGTTTGGGGACGGATCGCAAATAAGCAGGGGTTATCTATTTAAATAGCCACAAAACAACGGGCAACCCATGGATGTTGTTGGGGAACATTCTACATTTTTGCTTATTGTGGTTTAGTGGTTGAAATCCAACCACTCAACTGCTAAAATATAAATTGTGTTGCTCCCCTTCCAACGTCAACCCTGGCAAATGGAACCATGCACTAAAACTTGCGGATCCAAGTTTCCAGTCAGCGGCCAGACAAGGGGCCGGTTCCAATCCCCTGTTCCAATCCCATGCGCAGGACTGGCGAAATGCGCAGTGCGTCCAGGGCAAGTGCATGTGCCGCCCGGATGAGCGGCTTGGATCAAATTGGGCGCGTGCCCCCAAAACGCTTTCCTGAGGAAATGCCAGGTATGTACAGGGTACCTTTTTGAGGGGGCCCGAGAATTCTGGGGTAGACCTAGGACACATGTCACATTTTTCATTTTAACGGTGGCTCAAAGTGAAGCAAACAATCACATCTACCTTCTAGAACTGGGCCCAGCTCTAATCATGTATTCTCCTGAACTGAGTGGCTGAAAGGGGCAGGGAGCTAAGTCTAGCCACCGCTTGGATCTTCCAAGGTCATGACCACTGGCCACCTACTGAATGCCTTCCCCTTTTCGGCAACCCTTTGGCCCTCGCAAGGGTCGAAGCCGGGCCAAGGCAACCGATAGTCACCGGCCCAAAAAGGGGGTAGGTTTACTGTTCACCCGGTAGGCTATAAGTTCCCTGGTTGCCCAACCAGTGTGGTGGAAAAGTGCAATTAGAACACCGAAAAAAAGTGCAAATAGTCTGGTTTGGAGCTGGCAGCTTCCCCCACTTTTTCTGCGGTGACGCACTCGTCCATTAAGGTGCGACCATGGGCAAATGATAGGCTAGTGCTCCCAAATACTAGTAGGCGATTAGGAGCCTTCAAGTCCGGAAGAACCGTGTCTGTCCGTAAGCAACTAATCGCACGTATGTGACTTTCCGCCTGGGGCTCTTACTGAACCACGGAAAAACATCCATGCCAAAGCAAAGTGACGAAACGCTTGGAAGGGAAACAACGTTTTTTGTTTTTTCAATTGACTCGAGGTTGAGTCAAAGGGGCTGTCTGGTTGAGAGGATCCTTTGCTTTGAGGGGAGATCCCCGTCGGTCCATCTCTGAGGCTGTTCAGAGAAACACAGAAGCCGTGGAAAGATACAGCGACAACACATAGGCAGATTCTATGCAGCAATAGATGCTACTTTGCTAAGCCCTATTTCTGATGGCCTGATTCCGGGCAACCAGCCAAAGCGCACGCTGCCCATTTGGGGCCAGCGGAGCCAAACGTTGGTGCTCGAAGGATGTGCGGTCGAAGCCAGGTGCGTGGTGATGGGCGAATGTCTGCCGCAGAGTCGAGCAGACGTGGAAGGCGGGAACATGGTTGTTGTTGGGAAACATTTTGCATTTTTGTTTAGTATGGTTTAGTGGAAAACCCCCACTTATATTTTTTTGTTTGCTCCCCTTCCAACATCAACCAAGGGGAATTCGGCCGGTTCGGCGGGTTGCGCGCGAGAGCCCCTCCCCCCCATTTGGGGGACTCGATTTGTTTCGATCGGAAGGCGCGCCGGCCGCGGCGAGCCGTGGGAACTTCACGGCTTTGGTCCTGTCCGGCGGCGGTGCCAAGGCGAAAGCGTCGCGGGTCTGGGCGCGGAGGGGTTCGCGTGTCGAATGAGTCGAATGAGTCGGGTAACCCCTCAAATTGGTGAAGGGGTCCCTGGCTTTTGTAAGGGTTTCATGGGAACCCCTCCTTAACCAATCCAACACACCAATCAGAGGGTCTCGGGTCGGTGAACTCAATGAGTCAGGTAATTAGCCCGTCAGGTTGGTGGTTGGTAAGCTAAGCCCTTAATAAGGCCTTATTAAGGGGTCAATAAGGGATAGCCCCCTCCGGTTTGCAATTTCAGCCCCTCGACCACCAAGCCACCAATGCAGAACACCAATCAGAGGGAAGCTGAATGAGGGTGTTTGTTTACCCCAGAAAAGCCCAGTCAGCGGGTCCCAATTTACAACTACGATAGGTAACCAGTCATTCTCATTTTGGCTTTTTAAAGGGCGGTTTCCTTGGTTACCTACCATAGTGGTAAATGGACTCACCCCAGGTTTGTTTCGGACTTTAGTCACGTTTTGGGTTTGGACCATTGGTTTGCACAAACAGTTCGGACTTTGCTTGGGCGCCTTTGCGCAGGGAGCGCGTTGGCCACCCACCCACGACGCGAGTCGCGTAAAAGATACCCAAAATCACTCGCTACATTCGGAAAGCCTTGGAAACAGCTTGACAATGATCGTCTTTCTTGTGTTGTGTGGCCGGAGCGTATCTTTGAAGGATCCTTGTTGGGCAAAATTGTTGACACGGCCAGACCCAAAAGCACGTATTGTTCTGGGGAAACCAAGGGAGGTGATACGTGCTCAAATATGGCTGTGGGTCAAAACCAATGGGGCCATTTTGGTGGGTAGGTGAATTCACCACCCATTCTAGTCTATTTTAGTGGGGATTGGGATGTTCATTGGGGGTACGGGACTTTGACCCATGGCCGTCATGGTTTTCGAATTTGTTGGAAGTGAGGGCTCCGCTGAGGAACCCACTCCGAAGGGTTGACCTTGTTTGGGCGCTAAAAGATTGTTCCCGTGAGGGAAAGCAGTTGAATGGAAGATCTGGAAAGGCTACACACAGAATTGGCAGTGGGGATTCTCGAAATATTTGAGTACCCTTTTTTGGGAACAGGGAAAACAGCTTCGAAGGTTTTACTTTTTTGAGACACACCCAATTTAAGTGCAAGAACCACATCCCACATGGATCCGTGTAAATTGCGGTGACACACGTGGCTTCTCCTTGATACATCCGCCTGGACGCAAAACTCCGAACTCCGAATCGAAGCGACCAGGGGTCGGTAGGCCCCAAAAAGTCAGCTGACCATCCTCGTGCGTCAATAATTGATGCCACTTTTTTTGAGGTCCCTCAATGTCCAAAATGTGGTGTACCTGCAAGAGGGGCAGTATGGTTGGTAAGTTGATCAACTTGCGATGTGGGGAAACCAAGTTCGAGCACTGTATCGCAATAAATCTAGTACGAGCACGGAAAAAGCAAGCATGATTCATCCCTCAGCTTTTCTTTACTTGGACCTTCGGCCCGCGAAGCAGCAGCTAAACGAGGTTCCTCCATACATGAGGGTGTGTGTTGGCCCCCGAAAAAAAAAAAAAAAAAAAAAAAAAAAAAAAAAAAAAAAAAGTAAAGACACCAAAAGCACACAGAGCAAAACAAGACTTACACCAACATGATCCGTCGAGGTTCATTTCCTTTGCACAAAAATTCGGTCTCTGTGTGGGCGCCTGGGAATATGAGTCTACCTTCTGCGCCCTCGGAGTGCATTGACCCACTCAGGACTCAAGAGGTGAGCCGCTTGGTTAGATGCCCAAATCACTCGTTCAGCAGAAAAGAGATACACAAAGATCAGCATTCCCCGTCTCACTTCCTGAGTTGGACTTTAAGCTTGGGAAGACGATTCTAGTCGTAAATACAAAGTCCAGCCTTTGTTTGCCACTCAGGAAGTGAACCGTTCTGCCTACATGGTTGTTGGGAAACAGTTTACATGTTTGCAAATTGTAGTTGAGTGGTTTGCAAATTGTAGTTGAGTGGTTGAAATCCAACCACCTAACTGCCATTTTTATTTTTTATTTTTTTGCTCCCCTTCCAACGTCAACCAAGTTTTAATGGCAAGCCAAGGTCCAACAATTTGAGTTCTTTGTTATGACCATCCACTGGATCGGAAGTGAGGGAGGCGGGGCTAGCGGCTAGGGGCTAGCGCTTACTGAGACCCTTGGATTCTTGGACAGGGCGCCTTTGAGCTGGGCGTCCTGGAGGGGATTTGCAAGAACGAGTCCCTGCGCCACCTGAGGACCCCAGCGAATGGGCGTGGCTTTGTTCCGGGACAAAATGCGGCGCCATTGAAATCAGTTAGTCTTTCCCCACAAACGGCCAACAGGCAACATGTTTTTTCTTTTTAAGAAGGGGTCAAGACTGGGTTTGCTGTTTGTTCTTCGGCGGGGTAAGTCGGGGAAGGGGTTAGTAACCATGGGTGGAAGGTGGGAATGGTGTCCTTTTATGTTTATTCTTCTCACTCTTTGAGATCCTGTACTTTCTGCTTGTTGGGAACCGAATGACAAGTATCACACAGAAAGTTGGGACTTGTTTGACATGTGCACTTGTCCTTTGAGACTGGCTTTGGCCAACCCAGATTTATCCCGGTGTTTCTCAAAATTAGGCGACCCTTCCCCAAGACTCCCTGAACGGCTTGAAATGGATTGTCAAGAGCCCTCCAACATTGTCAGACTTAATAAAGAGCTGCTTTGCCCTGTTGGCAGCGGCGTGAACCATGTGCACCAAGAGCGTCCCATGCACAAAAGTTGGCTTCAAACGTCTTTGGAGCCGCATGCCCTGCGATTCCGTTTCCCTGTGTAGTCTCACTTGCCTGAAGCCGACCTTTTCAACCTTTTAGTTTTCCAATTTCGGACCATGTCTAGTCATGGCTCCAAAAGGTTAACCTTTTATCATGTGTCCTTTGGGCAAGTAAGTAGTAGGTAACAAAAGGAACCACCATTTCAAGACTAGTTGCTGCTTGCTTGCCAGAGTCATAGCTAGGATCTTGGCTGGAAATTCGCAGACCTGCGGCGCGATCGTTTTGGAGGCTTCCCTTTGAAACAACTAATGAAAGGGGCTAAATGGTTGGTTTGGGGGGCTTGTACTTTTACACCAAGTTCAGTCAATATCAGATCATTCTGTGACTATTTAGCCCCTCAATAAACGGGCGCCCTGTCTACGACGGAGATTTGGAGATTTGGAGGGTTGATCCTCCTAGAAGCGTGGCGGGTCCTATCACCCTCCGGTTAGCTCGATAGATGTTTGGGGCTCCAAAATAAGGAGTTTGCAAAAGACACCACTGGGGGAAGAGTCACTTTCCGCTTTCTCCCACCCCCGGCCCCAACGAAAAAACACCAACAGCAACCCCTCACACCCCCCAAACAAACAAGAACCACAAAAGCATCCGATCCGATTGCCCGGAGAAGCTGGCCGCTGAATACGGACCAGCATTTGTAAACAAAATGTGGGGGTCTAGAAGCTGAGGTAGAATTCTCACTCCCTGAGTTCCTGGACTTTAGTCACCGCGGATCATTTTAGTAGCTTGGACGATAAGTGTGGTTGCTAGGTTCCTCAGTAGTGCCCTTTTACCCTTTTTTGGAGGAGGGTTCCCCTACTAAAATAGAGTACCGGGATTCTAACCTCTCTACTGGAGGACCTAGGTCACTTCAGACCCATGCTAATCCGCGCCAGGAACTGGTCCATGATCGTGGGCACCAGCATCGGCGCTTTGAACGCCGGGGCGCTCGCCCAGTTCCCGCCCCATCTGCAGTGCACCCAGGCGCGCCGTTTGCGCCCCCGCCTGCGCGTGCGCTTCGCTGGGTTTTTTTGCCGTTGGAGCCGCTTTTTTGTTGGCGCGTCTTTATTGAAGACCCAGGCTTGGTTCGATCCCGCCCGTCTTTTGGGCCTATGAACCAGACGGAGGTGAAGGAATAGATGGGTTGGGGCCAACCCTCCTTTACGTCCGCGCTGCGCCAAGCAGCTGTTGGAAGGTGCTGATGGGGAACCTTCCCTACTATTAGCAGGCAAGGGAGCTTGGCTTAGGAGCAAATGCATCATATTGAAATTATGTGTGTGTGTGTGTGGGAGTGATAAAAGCACACTATGCCCTTAAGGGGAAACAATTCTTTCTTAGCACCCATAAATCTTGTTGGAGTGATCTCACTACACCCCATCCACAAAAACACGGAATCGGTGTCCGACCTCGAGCGATTTCTTTGTTTCGGCTCGAGAGCTCATCCAGCTCTAGAGCGCCTCAGAGCTTGCAACACGGCCGTGCTGGTCCCTGACAGATGCTGCTTTTTTGTTGAAGGTTCGGTGTACCGCACCATTTGTAACATATTTGCGTGTCTCATGTTTGTTCAATGATTGTATTTCCATGTTGAATGTACGCTCTGCACCTTGTCTTCGCCAAGGAGCCTGCAACTCAGCTTGCTGCCAGCCCAAGAAGTGCACAGAATACCACACTGTCAGCGTCCCAAAACCAATGAGAAATGCTTAGAAAAGTCGCCCCCCCCCCAATACCAGACAATTGTCAGACGTCCGCCCGAAAAACCAACCACGCCACCAGAACAGAAAGAAGCAACTCAAAGGAAGCCAGAGCAAACAAAAATAAACCCCTCAAATCCCCCAGACGTCTTTTCCCCAGTCGTATTTTTTGGGAGCCGCCAAAAAGCGGCCGCTGACCCTCGCTCGAAGCAAAAGCGACCGGCGATGACGACGAAGACGGGCGCCACGGAGCTGAAGGAGGTGCCGCCCGGGCCGCCGCTGCCGCTGGCGCTGGCAGGTGGGACGGGTGGACGGGGGGACGGGGGGTGGACGGGGGGACGGGGGTGGGGATTGGGGGGGGGGGGGCGATGGGGCGCTGGAGTGGTGGAAGGAAGGAAGGGCCCTCAAAATCAAGCTGGTACAGTTATTGAGGCCGGCAAATTGGAAGCAGTCCCACGCAATGCCAAACAAAAGGTTTTAATGGAAGTCAAGCAAGGCCAACAAAAAGCCGACTGAGGCCAAACGAGGTCAAAGATAGCGTAGCAAGCGTTTGCTTTTTTGTTTCTGTCAAGTGAGTCACTGTGTGGTTCAAAGTAGGACGTACAGGCAGACTGATTTTTGCTGGAAGGTGTCTTCATTGTTTCCAAGACCCCCCAAAAGTTTACCGGTATTCAATAGAAAGTAAAGTCAGCGCGCGGCGCAGATAGAAGTCCCTACTGCCTTCAATTCCTCACGAAGTCAATCCCGCTTGCCCTCAAAAGCAGGTAACTAATCATGTTACTTTGAAATTGAACGCTGCTCCAGAACCTCCTCGGTTGTGAATTCAATGACTGAGGTGAATCTCGATCAATCTGGAACAGTTGGGAACCTCCAAACGACTCCAGAAGTGTAGCTCAGGCTCGGTAGGCCTTATCAGCTTTGCGCCAAGTAGCAATAACTGACAAATTTCTAAACGCATGCCAGAAGGGGATGAATCACTTATTTATAAATTGTTCCAGAGCGTAGTTAGCACCCGGTCAGGCCAGTCGGCCTGAATAGGGTTTGGCTTTGACTCAGCGGAGTCTTTTGATCAGGCGCGGTGATCCAGCTGTCGGTGATGCACTACGTCTGGTCCACCACTTCGGCGGGGGAATGTCGCCAGGCGGCAAGCGGTGGCGCGTCCTTCGGGCTCAAGTTGCAGGCTGCAGAAGTTGCTCTGCGTTAACGAGCGCGTTCCCTTGAAGTGCGGGATGATGGTAGTTCAACGGACGAATCATGTCCGCTTCGGACTGAGCTGGAGGGGAGTTATGAGCCGTAGCCTGGCGCAGCTGACATGCTACATTCAACACACATGTGCGAATCAATTGTGGACCATATGCAGGGGTGGTGTCCGGTTTCAGCAGGAATTCACACATGTTTGGATTTTTGGAGAGCCTCGGACTAGCGTCGATCTTTGGATTACTCTTCTTGCAACATCACCTCAGGAATGTCAACGCATTGTCCAAGGTCCTGACACATTTTTACTGAAGATGGCCAAGTTACAGCAAGCTGGGGCATTTTGGCTCTGTAATGCCACTTGCCTGTGGGGGGGCCCTCTTTGCTTGACGTTTCGCGCGCTTTTGCTCCATGACTCAGCGGCTTGCAGGCCGGGCCCGGACTGTTCCACTTGGCTACTACGTCCCAGACACGACCCCAAGGGGACCACCCTTCAATCCACTAGAAGACACACACACACACAACTGTAGCACTGTAGGAGTAGTCAGTGGGGACGAATGGATACTCACTAAATGTTGAGCAATGAATAGGGATGCCACGGGTTCCTCAGCTTTTGGGGCCGTTACCCCCTTTTCATCCAAGAGTCTTCTCATCCGGAACGAACACTACGATGCTTTATGGAACTCCTTTCTGGATTAGAGCTTCACTAGTCCAGTTCTCTTTCGGTTTGCCTTCGCAATCGTCCTCAAACAGGGTCCAATCTTTGACACCAATGTGGCGGCTGGCATCCGAGCATGCACGCAGTATTCGCGCCTTCGCAAGCGTCCCTGCACTACTTCAAGGCAAGTCGCTCGAGCAGATTCAGAGACGACTTGCTGTGCTGAAAGCTTTTCAATCGAGGCTGCAGTGGCCGCCTTTGTTGTCGTTCACGGCCTTTAGTCGCACCTATCCTTTGCCATTGTCCCATTGCAAAGCGGGCAGTGCGGAAGTCCCGCTACAGCGATTGAAGTATTTGGCCGGATTTTTTGATGGTGATGGATGTGTCTCTGTGAATCGCAAGAGCATGTCTCAGCCTCTCTTGACAGTGGTTCAGTCTATCTCCAACACCGAGATTCTTTGGCAACTACGGGAGGCTTTTGGTGGTGGCATCTACATAAATCGTCACGGGCGTGGCTTGCGCCAGCCATCCTTGCAGTGGTTAGTAACCGGGGAAGCGAGCAGACACGCAGCAGCAAAACTGATTGGCTATGCTTTTGCAAAGCGGGCTCAACTGAAACTAGCAGTAGACTGGCCGGCGGGATGCAATGAGCGGAAGTTTGCGATCCGTGCGTTGGCAAGGCTGAAGTTGGAGGACTGTGATGAGGATATTGAATGTTCTTGGCCATATCTTGCTGGGTTCGCTGATGCAGAGGGGAGCATTTGCATACGAGCAGCAGAAGTTTTTTGTGAGCTGATAATCTGCCAAAAACACTGCGGCATTTTGAAATGGATCCAGCGCTTTTTGTGCTCTGAATGCAGTGGCAAAGTATCACTGATTCGCGACAATAGGGGAGCATATTACTTGGGAGTGCATTCTCAGGTAGATTTGAGACGGATGTTGCTTCGCCTACTGGAGAGCGGCTTGCTTGTGAAAAGGGAGCAATCGAAAGCTGCACTGAAGCTCAACAAGGCCTCGCACGCAAAGCTGAGACATGCCCAGATGCTTACAAAAGGCAACCAGGCGAGGTATCAACGTTTGGACGCTGCCGGCTGCGAACGCGCAAAAGAGATCAGGCTGCTTGGGGCAAGAGTCTACTACTTGCGAGCTCGAGGGCGAGATGCGCCTCTGGAGGCACACCTGAACTACCTCAAGCAGCAGCACTTGCTGCTGAATGCGACTCACGCTTACACTACTCTCCGAGCGGACATCAGATCCCTGGTGAACCGGGGAGCGGTTCTGCTTGGTCGCGAAAGCATGTCAGTGCCGTGAGATTGTGCTGTGTTTGATTCAACTCCCTTGCAGAGTGTTCTCGCGTGCTGTTGAAAGGGGAATATTGTTGCTCATCAACGCATGTCAGGGACTCTTGGGGAGTCTGCCTGCAGCGCAGAGTTGGCCTGGTTTGTGTCGTTGGTTTCAGGGCGGGTTTCGCTGCGTTCCGCTTCAGATACCAAAAGAACCCCCGCAAGTAGGTTTGGACATCCCCACTTGCACCTCAGGAGGTTTCCCTATGTTTCCCCTGCTTTATGCCCAGCAGGTTCTAAAAGATCAGACAGATGGACTTGACTGCCAGTTGCCCACTAGCATTGTTCGGTTGCTCTCAAAGGTTGAAGTGAGGTGGCTGGGGACGAGTGGGGCCCTTGCGCGGGCCGTTTTGTTGCAGCCCTTACATTTCTGCAGGAAGTCTTTCATGATAAGGAACTCGAATGAGATGTGGAGGGCTCCAGAATGGATGCTTTCCCTTGGGAAAGGCCTTGTTTCCCATAAGCGGTGGTCAATGTTTTGCGATCTTTTTCGGGGTTGACCAGCCTTACAACCTTCCAAGGCCAACATGGGTGTGTTTCAAAATAGGTGTTGTTTGCCTCTTTCACGCAACCAACAAAAGGTACCCTCCAAAAAGCACACCCAGACGACCGCACATGGCTTTTCAAGGCCTTTCGCTGGTAGTGCATGTCCCGGTTTTTGATCTCTTGGGCTCCAGGACTTAGCTTCGGTTCCCAGCGAGGGCTGCTCCAAGTTCAGAGGGGATCCCCTCCACTTTTGGGTTGGATGCCCTCCTATCAATCCAAAGGTATGCCGTTCTACTGAATTGCAATCTAGTTTTGGATACTTTATGAGGGAAGAGCTTCACTAGATGACAGTCCAGTTGTCTTTTGGTTTGCCTTTGCAGGCGTCCTAAAAAAACTGAACCAACCCTTTTTGACACATGTGGCGGCTGGCATCCGAGCACGCACGCAGTGCTCGCAACTTCAGCAGCGTCCCGGCGCTTCTTCAAGGCAAGTCGCTCGAGCAGATTCAGAGACGGCTGGTGGTGCTGAAAGCGTTTCAATCGAGGCTGCAGTGGCCGCCTTTGTCACAGTTCACGGCCTTTGGTCGCACCTATCCTTTGCCGTTGTCCCATTGCACAGCGGGCAGTGCGGAAGTCCCGCTACAGCAGTTGAAGTATTTGGCCGGATTTTTTGATGGAGATGGATGTGTCACTGTGACCAACAAAAGCATGAATCAGCCCACCTTGGCAGTGGTTCAAGCCGCATCCAACCCTGAGATTATTTTGCAATTCCGTGATGCTTTTGGTGGCGGCATTTACAGACATGGTCGCGGTCGTGGCTTATGCCAGCCAGCATTCAATTGGTCTGTGACCGGGGAAGCGAGCAGACATGCAGCAGCAAAGCTGATTGACCACTGCTTCGCCAAAAGAGCTCAACTGAAACTAGCATCAGATTGGCCGGCGGGATGCAATGAGCGGGAGGAAGCGATCCGTGAGTTGGCAAGGCTGAAGTTGGAGGACTGTGATGAGGATATTGAATGCTCATGGCCATATCTTGCTGGGTTCGTTGATGCAGAGGGGAGCATTTGCATAAGTTCAGCACAAGCCTTCTGCCGGCTGACGATTCCCCAAAAGAACTGCGGCGTTTTGAAATGGATTCAGCAGTTTCTGCACTCCGAATGCGCTGACCAAGTATTGCTGATTCGCGACAACAGGGGAGCGTATCAATTGGGAGTGTATGCGCAGGCTGATGTGAGAGCAGTGTTGCTTCGCTTGCTGGAGAGCGGCTTGTCTGCAAAACGTGCGCAATCCCAAGCTGCATTGAAGCTCAACAAGGCCTCCCATGCTGCTCTCAGAGTTGGCCAGATGCTTACAACAGGCAACCAGGCGAGGTATCGCCGTTTGGACGCTGCCGGCTGCGAGCGCGCAAAAGAGATCAAGCAGCTTCGAGAAAGAGTCTATTACTTGCGAGCTCGAGGGCGAGATGCGCCCCTGGAGGCACACCTGAACTACCTCAAACAGCAGCACTTGCTGCTGAATGCAGCGCATGTTTACAGTACTCTCCGGGCTGACATCAGATGCCTGGTGAGCCGTGGAGCAGTTCTGATTGGCAGGAAAGGACGTCAGTGCCGTGATATTTGGTTGTGATTGGTTCAGCTCCCTGGCAGAGTGTTCTCGCATGCTGTTGCAAGGGGAATATTGTTGCTTATCAATGCAAAGCATGGCAGGGACTCTTAGGGGGGAGTCATGCCTGCAGCGCAGAGTTGGCCCGGTTGGTGTCGTTGGTTTCAGCTATGTTTCCGGGTGGGTTTCGCTTCAGATACAATCCGAAAGAACCCCCGCAGGTATGTTTGGACATCTCGACTTGCACCTCAGGAGGGTTCCCTATATTTCCCCTGCTTTAGGCACGGCTGGTTCCAAGAGATCAGACAGACGGACTTGACTGCCAGTTGCCCACTAGCATTGTTCGGTTGCTCTCAAAGGTTCAGGTGAGGTTGCTGGGAACGAGTGGGGCCCTTACGCCGGCCGTCTTGTTACAGCTGGGAGTCTTTCATGACAAGGAACTCAAATGAGATGTGGAGGCCTCCAGAATGCCTTCCCTTGGAAAAGGCCTTGTTTCCCATAAGCGGTGGTCAATGGTTTGCGATCTTTTTCGGGGTTGACCAGCCTCAAAACCTTCCAAGGCCAACATGGGCGTGTTTCAAAATAACTGTTTGCCTCTTTAGGCCAACCCAACAAAAGGTACCCTCCAAAAAGCACACCCAGACGACCGCACATGGCTTTTGGAGGCCTTTCGCGGGTAGTGCCTGTCCCGGTCTTCGATCTCTTGGGCTCCAGGACTTAGCCTCGGTTCCCAGCCCGGGCCCGGACGGCTCCAAATTTTCTGGGTGTGCCGCCCTCCTATCAATCCGAAAGGTTTGTAATCCGGGATTGCCGCTATGAAAAGTTGCAATCTAGTTTTGGATACCTTGTGAGAGAAGAGCTTCACTAGATGACAGTCCAGTTTTCTTTCGGTTTGCCTTTGCAACCGTGCCCAAACACGGTCCAATCTTTGACACCGATGTGGCGGCTGGCATCCGAGCACGCACGCAGTATTCGCGCCTTCGCGAGCGTCCCGGCCCTACTTCAAGGCAAGTCGCTGGAGCAGATTCAGAGACGACTTGTCGTGCTGAAAGCTTTTCAATCGAGGCTGCAGTGGCCGCCTTTGTCGGAGTTCACAGCCTTTGGTCGTACCTATCCTTTGCCGCTGTCAGCTTGCAAGCCGGGTAGTGCTGAAGTCCCGCTACAGCGGTTGAAGTATTTGGCCGGATTTTTTGATGGAGACGGATGCGTTGCTTCCAGAGGTGCATCTCCATATAATCAACCCGCTCTGTCGCTGGTTCAGGCTGCGTCCAATGCCGAGATTCTTTGGCAGCTACGTGAGACATTTGGCGGTGGCATATATATGAGTCGTCAAGGGCGTGGCTTGCGCCAGCCAGCGTTGCGGTGGTGCGTGAACGGGGAAGCGAGCAGACATGCAGCAGCAAAGCTGGTTGACCACTCCTTTGCCAAGCGGGCTCAACTGAAGCTAGCAGCAGATTGGCCGGCAGGTTGTACTGAGCGGAACGAAGCACATTTGAATTTGACAAGGCTGAAGTCGGAGGATTGTGATGAGGACCTTGAATGTTCATGGCCATATCTTGCTGGGTTTGTTGATGCAGAGGGGAGCATTTGCATACGAGCAGCAGAAGTTTTTTGCGAGCTGATAATCTGCCAAAAACACTGCGGCATTTTGAAATGGATCCGGCGCTTTTTGTGCTCTGAATGCTGTGGCAAAGTATCGCTGATTCGCGACAAAAGGGGAGCATATCACTTGGGAGTGCATTCTCAGGTAGATTTGAGACGGGTGCTGCTTCGCCTACTGGAGAGCGGATTGGTTTTGAAAAGGGAGCAATCGCAAGCTGCACTGAAGCTCAACAAGCCCTCGCACGCTGAGCTGAGAGACCGCCAAATGCTCGCAACCGGCAACCAGGCGAGGTATCGCCGTTTGGATGCTGCTGGCTGCGAACGTGCAAAGGAGATCAGACTGCTTCAAGCAAGAGTCTACCACTCACGTACTCAAGGGCGAGCAGAGATGCTTGAGCCACACCTCGACCACCTCAAGCAGCAGCACTTGCTGCTGAACGCTCTGCATGCCTACACTACTCTCCGATCTGACATCAGATCGCTTCTGACCCAGGGAGCGGTTCTGGTTGGATGCGGGGGATGATGCGGCGCTGCAGCGGAAAAACAACTTGCCTGTATTTGGGCTGACACCCCTCCACCATGTTGCCTGCAGATGTTTGAACAGATTTAGCACATTTTGCCCGGGGCTGCTATGAAAGCCATGCTTCCTTGGTGATGCTGTCCAATGTCCAACACCTGCTTCCTCACGTGCTGTAGAATCTACAAGTTGGTTGTGAAGCAACCTAGGGTAATGCAGAGGGCTCTTTCAGCAAACGCGGAAACTAGGGGTTCAGGTACACATTCCGACTTTGAAGATAGTACCAACCCGCACCATTAGGATTGCATTTGTCGCAGAAAAACGCCCCATCCGCCCTTGCTTGTTAGACCCACAAAGTCCAAGGCATGAGCTACTGTGTGTTGGATTAGTCCGCCCCTGCCCTGCAGAAGGCCTTTCGCAGGCTTTTGCGCAACATGTTCCGTTGAACTTACTTTCTCTCCGGTTGAACCGGAGGGTGGTAACTTAGGGCTGGGCCGCGACCTCACAAGTTACAGTGGATGGACGGGTGCTGCACAACATGCTTTATTCAAAATTACAGGAAAGTTCGCTGACGAACTCCAGTGTGTTGCGGGTAAGCTGGCATAAACTTGTCTTGGAATCAGCAGTCACATTTGGGGCTGCAGCACTAGATTGATAATCAAGCACCTTGGTAAGAAGTCTGAGCGCCACCTTGTTAAGATGGACAGTTGTGGGGAAGCAGTAATGTGTTCGTAGTTTTCAGGTTGCTCCACTTTGCTCCCAGCTTCGAATAAGAAGCCTGCATCCCCCTACCCCTATTTAATTTAGAATTCATGTTTGATTAGGCAGGGGCCCTCATGAGGTCCAGTCAGGCGTGGAGATGGTAATTGATCTAGGCCACTGTTTGTGATGTCGCTTGAGCCAACACATGGCAGGCCATTTGCAGCTGGGTAATTTTTGATTTCGTCATTTCTTTTACTTACAGCCAGAAATGGAGTTGTGCCTCCATGTGTACCCTGCTGTATTGGGGTGGGGAAGGCTAGAAAAAGGCACTCCTCCTGCTCCTTAACCCCGGGAAAATCTGGCCATGGGTCATAACTCATATTTATTTTGGGGTGGATGAACTTCCATTTGCCACCTATTTTGACGTTCACCAGGGGTACAGGGTTTTGACCCACAGCCATCTGCCGAGGTCTGCACGCGCCTTTGAGCTGCTTGCTGCATCCCTTCCAGGCGGACGCCTGGGGCCGCACGGTGATCTTCGTGGACTTGTTGGCCCTTTCCACCTGGGCGTGACTCGCACGAAAGGGTCATCTGGGAAAAAGGGGTTGTTTTGGTCAACAAAACGCCAACTCAGGTGGGTTTAGAGGGAACGCAACATGTTGGGGTTCCCTTAGTTTGAGGCATCGAAGTCGATCAACTGGTCCGTGACACATGCAATGATCAATGGTTGGAAAACCACTAACATGATGATAGTTCCCACATGGGAAAAGTTACGAGAAGTCAAAACTGGGGGCCGAAGGGACCCCCATTTTGGTATTTCGTAGTGTCCTGAAAAGCGATGCCCTTCCATTCCCAAACCTCGAATGCAACTCGATACTGAGAACTAGCAAGCAATTGAGAATCTCAAGACTGATTCCGATTGGCAATCGCAGCAAGTGCTTCGATTCCTACCTAGCTTCATGAGGGTTACAGGAGGCCGGTACTTTCTTCAAAACCATCTTAGTAGAACCAAGGGTTAATGGATTTAGGTGCTGCTCACCTGGCGGTGGATCCAAACGTTTCACCCAATTGGTTAGCTTCATGTTGGTTCCCTTTTCGGACTGTTCCTAAGGTGGGGCTTCCCAGCTTTGAGTGCTTCCTTCCAAAAGGCTTGATCGGAACGCCGTTCACCGGCCTGAAGCGTGACAAACTGGTGCCAGTCAGCATTCCGAGTTGCAAGCCGGCTTTTGCGGGCTACAACCAAGGACCAAGGTTACTAACCACTTACTGCATAGCCTGCCCTTTCAAATAGCCTTTAGAATGTCTAAACAATGGTCATACGACTATAGACTATCGGTAAAGGAAACCCAGTTGCCCAGTGGTGCCCTTTTGTTTCCCTTTTTTTTGGGGAAGGGTTTCCCTTTAAAGTCAACCAACCAAAAAAGGATGCCCCTTTTTTTCCTATGGCCACTGGGCATCCCCGGGTCCAGTAGCGTCTCGCAACTCATCCGAGGTATTCCCTGCACAGCGTGCCGCACACGGGCACCTCTGACCCCTCCATCGTGGACCGCCTCTGGTCGATCATGCCCTGGCTCTACACCTGGCTCCTTGGGCGCAAGACTAGGTCCCCAGCGAAAGGGTGCCCGACCTCTCACCCCTTTTTTGGGTGGGAGGCAACCCCCCATGTCTAAAATAGACTAAAGAAAAAAGTAACGGTACCCTTACTCTAACCTCCTGGAGGACCTAGAAGAAGCGCGCGAGGTGGCAGGACTTGGCGCTTTTCAACCGGGGGAGATGAAAGCCTCACTGCCTGAGTTCCGTTTCCGGCTGAATGTCACCTTTGTTGGTTTCGACCATTTTGGATTTTTGGGGCAAACACACAAATTGGACTTGTTTTGTTTGGGGGCGTGAGACTGAGCCATTTGGGGAATGCCCCTGTCATTGTCGTTGTCTACCTCTTGTGGCAGTGGGAACCAACCGACAAATGAGACTACAGGAAACCCTGAATTGCTGCATGGAGGTGAACGCCAGCGGCTTTTCAATTCTCCCTTGAGACAAATCTTCAGGGTTCTCTCTCCTCCTCGCTTTCTCAGCCCCTTTTCTCTTTGAAGTGCCCGCCGATTTGGTCAAGGTCGTGAGGTGCTTTTTCAGGAAGCTTATTCGAAACATGGGTTCACTTTGACAAAGTAATGCTCCCGTACAATGATTCTTGGAACAGGCCGAAGTTCGGCTGAAGAGCATGTGTGCCAGGCTTGGGGCAAGTTGCTCGGACAATCAGACCTTGCCCCCCTCCTTGCAGATGGCAACTACAGGTTGATGTGAAAGCACAACTTTTTTGCGGTAAGACTAACAAAACATGGACCCTCTTGGTAAGGGGGACGTACCACTCGACTCATTGGATGGGTGGAGTATCACGCTTCGCGGCGTCGGAGGCACTGGTTCCTCTCCTCCTGCTGGTCTGGCCAAGCGAACGGCCGGCTCTTGCTGATGGCGTTGCTCGCGACGAGCCTTCGATCTCCAGTTGGCTGATGCGTGGGGGGCAAGGGGGGGGGATGGCCAGCTGCGTGTTCTTTTTGAAGGACAGAAGCGGGTACCAGCAACCCCCAACTTACCTGCCTTGCCCATGCCCAAAATTCCGAGCACCCTCAAATAATCACAGAGGGATGGCTTTACTGTTTGGGTGAAAAGTCCGGGGAATTGATATCATTGATGTTTGGGGTGGTGGCGGTCTTTGGACTGGTTTGCGGTCCCTGCAAAAGCAGGTCAACGTTGGGGAATACTGAAACCAAAGGAAGAGGAGTTTATACTTCCATGTTCAAGGAAGTCTGGCTCAAATTGAAACGGACTTCGACAGTCCAAGGGTGTTTGTATTGCGTCCCTCAGATGGATCACGCAGAAGTGGGCGGCCGGTGCTCGAATTGCTTGCTTGATTGCTTGCCTGCCTGCCTGCCTGCCTGCCTGCCTGCCTGCCTGCCTGCCTGCCTGCCTGCCTGCTTGCTTGCTTGCTTGCTTGCTTGCTTGCTTCCTTGTCGTTCAACCATTGATACTGACTCGGCTGATCATGTTGGTTTGCGACTTGCCTTTTGCCACGTATGTCTGGCAGTGGGGTAAATTGCTGAGTACCCTACCCTTTCAATTACCCTTTTAAAGGCGTAAACAATGATCACGATCATGTGACTATAAACCATGGTCAAGGGGAAATCCACCCTGTGCAAAGGAAATCCACCCTTGTCGATTGTGTCCAAATAGGGCATGTCACCCGGAAATGGGGTGCGGTTTCCCTTCGGCATGCCGGAAGAGCCATTCGGAAAAAGGACCGAGCCTCCAAAGCAGGCCATACCCACAAAGGATATGGCTTCCCATCGCCTAGTGCTTCCAGTTCCCACACTATAGTGGGCAACCAGGCATTTTTACCCCTAGTTGGGTTATTTACCTCGTATAGTGGGAACTGAAGCACTGGGTTCGCTCTGCCTGAAAACCACCCCCAAAACCACCTGAGTCTCCAAAAGCATAGCCACACCCGTGCTTTTCGAGGATGTGGGGTGTGCGGCTGACGTACAACTTCTACATCAAGGGAGGCTTCAGCGGCGGAGAGGACTACCGCTGGGCCGTGGTGAGGCGGTGGTATCCCGGGTGGCAATGGGAGGTCTTCAACCTCGTCTTCATTTGCCCCTCGGCTTTTTGGGCTATTTGGGTGTGGGTCAAAATTATTCCACCAGGGGACCGCAGGTTTGAGTCCATATTTCCACTTACCAGGGTTCCATTTTGGGTACCTATTCTTGACCCACAGCCATTTGGGTTCTGAATCGTCAGCATAAGGGCACTCCGTAAAGTAGAGAAACCCTCTTGGAGGGAGTCCAACTAAATTTCTTCAAACTTTTTTCCGGGGGCGGGGGGGGTCCACCAAAAACCCAGCAAAAATCAAGCCCCTCCGGCCAAACAGCCATGCCATGCCTCACGTTCAGTGAAGCATGCGACCTCCGAGATTCCGAGGCCTTGAAAGGCTTTCTTAGCCCAAACGCTGTCCTTGGCAGGGGGCAAGATTTGCAAAATTCTGGGGGGGGAGGGGGGGAGGACTAAGAAGCGCATCTTTCGGTTTAACTTTGACCAGATTGAGCTGTTTAGCTTGTTTGTGTCTGTTCATGTTGACCTGTTTGGTGGCTGCAAAACAGCAAAGTGTCTGGATCACAAGCCAGGGATTGGAAGATGAAACTGCCTAACCCTTGGTGTGCGGGTCTAAGTGCGAACTCTGCCCAAAGGGAAATGTCGAAGGAAGCCTCAAGCGTGGGTTGAAAGGGAAGTCAAAGGAAAAGGTCCATCTTGAGGGTTCTCTTTTGCTCTGTTGAAATTCCAAGTCTGAATTCAAGTCCGGGATGTCCCAACCATTCAATACTCTGGATGGACGAAATTCTGTGCCACGTTGAAACCATGGGAAACCATTGTTTGTTGGTATTTACAGGGGAATCATCATTCCAGGGTTTCTTAGGTGGGGCGATTGGATTTCGCAACCATCCACAGTGGGGCGGATTTTCCACATACCCCCACCCATCCAAGTACCTCATATTTGAGGAATCTGTTGACGACTTCCCGAACGAACTCAACCCAAACCCAGAACAACAATGGAGTAATCTTGGGAATTTCCGGGAGGACAGGGGGGGGCCACCAATTTTCTTGCAAATGCCAGGGTTAAGCCTCCTGGCCTTTGCAGAAAGCTCAAAGCCCAGCCCAGTGAGTACGCTTGGACCAGGGACCCTAAAAAGCCAATTTCAGGTCCTTTGGGCAAGTGAGTTTGGGGAAAACCCTCCCCCCCGTTGATGGTCTTTGGGCAAATAAGTGCGAGTTTCTGTGTGGGAAAACCCTCCCCCGAGTGAGTTTTTCTGGGTCCAAAAACTCAGTGCACTGAGAACTTCTGGTGACCTTTGGGCAAGTGAACCCTTCAAACTGGTCACTCAAGTGAGTGCAGGGAAAACCCTCCCCCCCCTTTGGTTTCTGGGTCGCTACTGAGAACTTCTGCCACTGAGGCTGCTTCCAGCAGGTGGCGGTCATGGCCTTCACCGTGCCCGCCGTGGCGGCACTGCAGTCCACCGCGCCCCTGCAGGCGAATCCGAATCCGCGGCATGCGCGCGAATCCGCGAGTGCGGGTGCGGGGGGGGGGGGGGGGGACATTATTTTTTCAAAGTCAGAAAATGGGATCGGTTGGTTCCCGTTTAGCCCACGCAGAGGCTGATTTGGATCATGGTGGAGTCATGGGGCCAGCCAATTGGGTATGAATTTCAATTGGGGACCCAGTCGTGCCGTGCTTTCAATTTTTGGGAAGGGTCCCCTTGAGAATCAATTACCAAACTTTTTGGGTGCCATTTTGCCAACTCTGAACCTTGAAGTGTTGAGAACAGTACTGCCGGAACAGAGGCTGGCTCGTCTTCTTTCTTGGGGGTACCCCTGCAAACCCCGGACCGAAATCCTAGCGGATTGGCCATCAAGGGAACTTCCCCGCGGATGTCGCGTTGAAGTGGGTGGGTCTCAAAATAGGGGTACCCCCCAAGATGCAGCAACGGTTTTCCGTTTGGTTTCCCTTTAAACCCAACAAAAAGGAGTTCCCCAAATTTGACAACCGCAAATGCGTTGGGGCTGGGAAATCCAACCTGTTGAATTTGCTGCAATTGGAAGGAACAACTCCGGGCGAAAAGCTTCAAGCTTAAATTCAGGGGATGGGGAAGAGGAGACTGAGCTGGGAATGCGACGCAAAGAAGTTGTTAGCGATGGTCAAAGCAAGCCTTTGCAAGGGAATTTGGCCAATTAGAAAGGTTCCTGTTGAGTGGCTCAAACGATTGCTCAGGCTCCAAGTGCCTTCTAAGTCCAAATTGCCGAACTATGTTGGTAGGCAAGTAAATTAATCCTTTACTAGGGAATTTGGCAACACATTGCGCAGGCTGAGCAAATGAACCCAACTGCTCTGTCACGACAGAAAGGGTCGCAGCCTTGGAACAGGTCGCGGACTTGCTGAGCGCGGCGCTCTTCGTGGCCCTTTTCATCGGCGCCCTGGCGTGAGGAAACGAGGCCTCTGGCTCAGCAGGACATCCACCTGGACCCTCCAGTGGTCACTGCTGCCTATTTTTTGGGCGAAACTATAACGAGCTCCCCATAAATTCAGGTCAGCTTTTGGACTTCTCGTAGTTGTTTGGCAGAATCCCTTTGTTGCCCGTCGTTGCCCCACAAAGACAAGCTGTAAGGGGGTCTATTGCGCCGCTTGCTCAACTTGGCGGTTCGCAGCTACACCTTTGCACTTTCAGAGTTCGCTTCTTTGAGCATGGTTGATTCCCGATATCGGTTTGTCTTTTCTTGAGGAACCCCCAAAACAAGGGGCCCTGTCTTTCGTTACCATGCAAACCACGAAAAAGGGTACCCTCAGAAAAGTCAGGCTGCGAACTCCACTCAACTCATCCGCCAGGTTTCAGCCCAGCTGGTTCAAATGGGAAACCACCCCCGCAACATCTTCAATCTGCCCAAGCCAGCAACCAGCGCTTCTGCTTTGTTTCTTTTCCTATTTCATGCTGCTGGCGGGCGTGGGTGGTTTTTTTGTTTTCTCCCCTTTTTTTTTTCGTTTGTTTGTTTGTTTTGGGGGGGTCTCCTTTTTGAGATGAAAGGGAAACCAAAGGCAGTACCAACATTTTGGCGGGCCTCCCATTGCGATACACGGCTGTGGGTCAAAAACCCGTACCCCCAGTGAACATCCCAATCCCCACTAAAATAGGTTCTAAAATGGGGGGTGAATTCACCTACCCCAAAATGGTACAATTGGTTTTGGTCAACATTAAACCACCATAGGACCACAGGGTTTTGGTCCATGTTTCCATTTACCAGGGTTCCTATTTTGGGTACATATTTTGACCCACTCCCAGTTTTAACCCGCAGCCATCCAGGCGCTGCTAATCTGGAGTCCTCCTAGACCTGAGGTGAGACGGTGGCGGATAAGCAGATGTTCGAGTTCCAGACCGAGAAGTACCGTGACTTGACCCGATTCACGTATTTTTACCTTGGCAAGAACTCAACATTTCTGTTTCCCATACTCCTTGTGCCTTGGCGGTTCCCAGCCGTCCGGTTCCTTTTGGATTTGCAGGTGTTTAGTTGGTTTAGTTGTTGGGGTGTCCATTTGACCCACCAAAAGTTCAACGTTTTGGAAGGGGATCAGAAAACGGACAGCCCAGGCACGGCGATGTTTAGATACTTCGACATGTTGCATTAGGCAAAGCGACAAGACGATGGAGCCCTGTAAGGCTCACCCTGAGTTCCCGGACTCAGCACTTGCTGGGTCCAAAAGTGGTGAGTGATTCCCCACAGTTCACCCAGGGACGCACCCCTATTAGTAAATTGTGGTTGATTCATATGGGGTGATATTCGGATCCGGCAAACAAAAAGTTCAATGTGCTCAAGAAGTGAGATACGCCTTGCATGTTTGAATCTAAAACAAAGCATTTGTAGAGGCAGCCCCTTTGGGACCAACTTCTTTGTTGCCGTTCCTTCTGTCAATTTCGGACAAACACATGCTTTGTGTGGCAAGTGGCAATCAACCAAAACATGAATGGCAGGTTTTTGCATTTTTGAGGGTTCCCTTTTGGGACAGTTAAGGGTAACCAAGGGGAACGAAGCCATCACTTGGGTGGATCCTCTTTTTTGGACACCTGCCAATGTTCTGCTGAGCTGAACGCTGTGGCAATTCTTGGGCCCGCCAAAGACTTGAGGGTTAATCACTCCCTGAGTTCCTGGACTTTAAAACTGTTTGGGAAGACAACTTGAGTGGCAAAACAAAACTTTGGACTTGTGTTGGCCAATCCACTGAGGAAGTGAGGTTCAGGCTTTTTGTGACAACGTCTTAGTTGGCCTTGCAGGCAATACGGCTTATTCACCCGTTGGGTGTTGTCTGGGTGGAGGTGCAGCTCGAAAAGGGCCCTTTGGATCCCTTTGGCTTGAAGCTCAGGTGACACCCTTGGGACAAGCCAAGCCTGGAGCCCACTCAAAGGGGCAGGGCACTTAGGAAGTGGGTAGCAACCATGGTGGTATCATGTATCTGAGGCGTTTTGTACTACACCCTGGGAAATGACCCGGAATGGTTCAAAATCACCGTGTTTTTATCCGGACATGTGCCTAGATGGGGTCAATACCCAGTGGGTGTATTCCCAGGGTGTAATACCAAAACCCTTAGACATGTGGTGCCAGGGGCGACCTAGCGGCTCAAGGCCATCACAAACTGACATGTATTTGTACGGCCGTATTTACCCTGCGGTTCACCTTCCATGAAAAGACCCCCAACAATCATTCATGGAGGGGGTTGAAAGACTACTTTCCTTTCAGGAAGCACCTTGTCCACTTCCATGATTGTTGGATAGAGGGTCACCTTTTATTGCTGAGTCCTTTGGGCAACTGAGTGGTTCCCCTGAGGGAAAACAAGCAGCAAAATCCAACCAAACGGGCTGTCGGCAGTCCACTGGATGTTTAAAAGGGAAGCAAACAACCAAAGAACCAGCCCAACAACCAAACAACCAGCCCACCATCGGGAACCCCGCCAAAATGCTTCAACCACAATTCCGTTCAGGTCGCAAGGCTGCCGGTGAGCCGCTGAAGGAGTACACGGACGGCTTCATCCAGTCGGGTCTGTGGGCGTACAGTCGCCATCCCAACTACTTCTGCGAGGTGTCCATGTGGTGGGCGCCTTGGCTGAATTAAAAAAAAAAAAACAGGAGCTGGGCGCCTGGCAGCAGGATTGTATGATGTCATCCAAACTCTATGATGGTGTCCACTACCCACAAACCACTACCCCCAGATTCAACTCGGGTGTATACCCTTCAGTGGCTATCTAGTGGCTGTATCTCCCATTAAACTCCTGGGGGAGAGCTTCGGTTTGGGTAGCGGACACCATCCGAGACAAAAGGAGGCCAAGAGGGGAGTGGTGGAATCACAATGTGGGCGCAAGGCGCCGTCTGAAAAAAAACGCCCTCCGCTTTTGGTGGGTGAGCGCGGTGGGCGCCCGGCTGGAAAGAAAAGAAGCGCCCAACACCAGCTTTCCAAAAGGTCAGCTTGGGTGGTTTGGTTCCTAGATTGGGAACGCAAAGCTGATGGAGCCTTTATAACCATGTTAAGTAGAATCAATGGAAACTCCGGGGGGGGGGGGCTGGGCGCTAAAGAGCCCATGATGTTTGATCCCCTTCCCCAAACAAAGAGCAATCAACAAAGCAAAAGGGCGGGTAGCTCGTTTTCCCGACCCTTCATTTACTAGGTCCCCCCAGTAGTGCCCTTTCGAACCCCTTTTTTGGGGAGGGTTCCCCTACTGAAATAGACAACAACAACAAAAGGTACCCTTATTCTAGCCTCTCTACTGGAGGACCTAGTTTAGCACCCAAGGGGTGTTGAGGGCCACTTCCTGTGATACCCAAATTGGTTCTGCCCTGTTTTGAAGTCGTGCGAGCGCTGAAGTCACCATTGGGCAAAATTGGTTTAAGCGACTATCCGGACCCACACAATTCCCTCGGAATGGGTTAGTGCCCCAAAATCTTGTGAGTTTGATGGTCCAGGTAGACCCGCCCCCCGTTAAAGGGGATGAGCAGAAGGTTGTTTGAACAATGACGTTGAAACATGTTCCTGCAGCTTCAAACGTGTAGACAAAAAAAGGTGTTTCGGTCATCGTATTGCGTTTGCCTGTTTCGTACCACTTTTTCCCAGTTGTTCTCCAATCGTACCCATTACCCAAAACGCCCAGGTTTTGCTGGGTGATTGAATCTCCAGGTTTAAGCCAGCGGCTGGCCCATCCCTGCCTTGTATTGCCTTGTCCCGAGGAGAAGCGGAGAGTTTTGGTGTGCACCCCCCAGAATCTGCTTAAGACCGATAGCGGAACCGTGAGACCAGGTCACTCATACGGCTTTGTGCTCTTTGAGGCTACCCTTGCAGCTGAGTCATAAAGGGAACGCAGAAGACGTAATTTTTGGGGATCCTCACTAGGTTGACACATACCCACCTGTATGTTGATTGATTGGCCTCGGAAGGCGGGTCTTTACTCCTAGACTGAGGTTTTCTACCTCTTCAGCATCCCGGCCTCGGGGAAGGTGTCTTGGTTGCGATGCGCGGCGATCACCCTTAAGCCCTTACATTACGTGATTAAAAAAACGCCTCCATGCCTCCGTGCCTGGCCTTAGCGAGTCAGGTGGGCCACAATCAAGAAGAAATTTGGGGAGAATCAATACTGATCGGGTTTCATTGTGACTCAGGTTTTCAACCTCGGAAACAAGTACCTCGATTTGACGTGTTCCCGAAAACATCAAATTGCAAACACCAGAAAAATATACTCAGGTAACCAGGTAACCCTTCCTTAGTGCTTTGAATTGGTGGTGTGGGACCCTTTTTCCAACCCACCTGTTTTTTGAACCAAACACAAAATGCCAAAAACCCAAAATCATAACTACAGGGTGCTTGGACCCTCTGGGTAGAGACAACCCAAACCCATAAATATAGGGTGTCAACTGAGGCTGAGCAGTGGTTGTTTGTCTTTTTTTTGAACCAAACCCAAACAGATAGACAACCAACAGGCCATGTCACTCTCTCACCTCTCTCTGTCCCTTCGTTTGTTCGTGAGTTTCCATGAGAGACAGAGAGATGCCGGTTAACTTGTGAACTCGCCGGCATGAATGAACAAAGTGAATGGGAAGGTAGGAAGGTTAGCTCTCAGGGTTAAATGCCGTGTCCAAGAGAAATAGAGAATTGACCGGCATGAGTTCACTCTATCAGGGTAGCAAGGGACCAAGGGACCGGGGTGGAGACGTGCAGGTGTTCAACTGGACCATTTGGGGCGCCATCTTCCTCTCCGGGCTCTTCGTGATCCCCGGGGCCTCGTTGGACATCACCGAAGCGCTGTCCACCAGCAAGTACCCGGCGCCTCAAGCTGCGGGAGAAAACGGGGCCCATCATTGCCAAATTGGGCGGTCCCCAGCCGTCCCAGTGGGGTTTCTAGGTTTTTGGGTGTTTAGGTGTTTAGTTGGTTTTGAGTGGGAGGTTTTGAGAATTTTAGTTGGTTTAGTGGGAGGTTTTTAGGTGTTTAGTCGGTTTTGAGTGGGAGGCTTTGAGAATTGTTGTTGCTTCAGTGGGAGGTTTTTAGGTTTTTAGTTGGTTCAGTGGGAGGTGTTTAGGTTTTTGGTTGGTTTAGTGGGAGGGTTTTAGGTTTTTGGTTGGTTTAGTGGGAGGTGTTTAGTTGTTTTTTGGTTTCGTGGTTGGGTTTTCAGTGTAGCCCGCCAGTTAAACTTTTTGCAGGGGATCTGAGGACAGCCCAGTTGCTGAAATTGATATGTTGTATTTTCACGCTCCGCGCACCGGCCTCACCTGCCCAGGGAAAGTTCTTAGGAAAAACCGAGCCACGCGCGATGGATCGCGGATGACTGGATGGATGGTGGGTGGGTGGATGGGTGAATGGGTGGATGGGTGGATGGGTGGATGGGTGGATGGGTGGATGGGTGGATCGGTGGATCGGTGGATCGGTGGATGGGTGGATGTATTAGTCGGACGCAGTTACTGGCATTTTTCTGGGGACCGCTGTCCCAGATCTAGCGAGCGCTGCGGCTAAGGTGTTTTCTTCATGTTGCCCTCTGACAAATAACCCCCCAGCCAATTGGACGTGTCCATTTTTTGAGGGGCCCCTTTTTTGGTGTTAAAGGATCCCCCTTAATAATAAGTCGTACCTGGAAATAGAATAGCAAATGACCAAAACGGAAAACCAATAGGTCAGCAGGTCGAGAGTTCACTAACAGGGTCAACATTAAGCAATCTTTTGGGTTCCCAATCATATCGACATGAACCAAATGACAATCCAAAATTAACCTTTGGAAGCCAAAAACCCAAAGTGTAAACATTGCCCAAGCACTTCCATCAGTTTTTGAAGATCCCGACAGGGGTCACTGGATTCCTCTTCACAAGTTGATCAGTTTCCTGGCGGCTCAAGCAGCTGGGATTCTCTTAAAAGGGCGTAAGTCATCTTTCGTGCGAGTTAGAGCGTCACTGCGAGCCCCAGTTTGTGCGCCATGCCGACAGTGCCATGGTATCCTGCCGGCTTTGTTGGCAGTGCGCAGGACTGGCGCTGTCTACCATTGATTCGTTGGCCGGCCGCGAGTTTTTGAGGAATGCTTCAGACCGTGCCACACTCAGCCACGTTGCTGGGTCAGATTGCGTGGCCCTTTGCAAACTGGACAAGTGTTTCAATTGAAAACGCCGTTTGCATGTGAGTCTTGGGCCTGCCGCAAGTTCTCCATCTGACCCCTCCAGGTTCTAGCTTTTGAGGAATGAGGGCTGGCATTTTTTGCGTGTGATTCTTTGGCACGCCGCAAGTTCTCACTCTGACCCCTCCAAGTTTGGGTTTTTGAGGAACGTTTCAGGCGGTGCCATGCTCAGCCACATGGCTGTGGGGTCAGGTTGCTTGGCCCTTTACAAATTGAACATGTCAGATTGCGTGAGACTTACAAATTGGACAGTCGCTTGCTTTGAAAGCGCATCAGGCTCCCAATTCGTGCGCAAGACTGGCCCTGGTTGCACGTGAATACTCGGTCTGCCGCCTGCTTCACCACGCCACGCTGAGCCACAGCGCTCTTGAACATTTCGAGAGTTGATGAGGGCTTTGCTCGCAGTGCTTGCATGTGATTCTTTGGCCTGCCGCAAGCTTTCAATTTGACCTTCCAGGTTTGGGTTTTGACCGTGCCACAAGCTTGCTTTGCAACTTTGAGGTGCGAAAGGGCCCCCCCAAAAGGGCTGGGTTTGAGTACGGACAAGAAAATACCTACTTTAGATTTGGTTTTTTAGTGCTGGCCTTCTCTTTTAAAAAACGGTTCCCGCCTAATCTTTGAGAAATGAGCCAGCTATGCAAACACTCAGCAATTCTGAAGCTGAGCCCTGCCTCAGGAGCAAACGCCTATAAAAAGAACGCAGTCGCAGGCATTGCTTGAAATTTTGCGAAAGCTCGTGAAAATGATGACACTGTGATCGCGTGTGAGAAAAAACAATTTGGGTGCAAAATGTTTCTACGAGAGCGGAATCATTTTTCTTCAATGCTTTCTTCACCAAAAAGCTCTGATCGCACGCGATTTGCTTTTCTCAAGCCTTTGCAGCCCAACAGCATACGACGCGCTTTGTCGACCCTCGCGGAATGAGTCGATCTTGCTTGATGCATGGTTTGTTCAAGCCTGACTTGCCGCTGCCCATTTGGGCAGAGAAAGGCACCCAGGCATTATTTTGAGCTCTGCCACCCTTGCCCACCCTTGATGTGATTCAGGATTGCATGATGATTGATCAGCACGGAGGAGCGTTGGACTTGAGGCCTGCTCAACCTCCGGAACCTTCCTTGAAGCTTACACCTAGCTTGCGCCAGACCACCCGAGAACCTGCGAAACACCAGGAGACTGCCCCGAACTCCACAACTCCTCCGAGCCACCCCCAAACTGTCTTGCTTGTGTGTCTACCCAGCTGACTTCCTCACAATCCCGCCCCTGCCTTCGCATCTGACCAAGCCTAGAACTTGGTGGGCTGGCGCTTTCCTTTTCCTTTCGCTCATGATTGCCGAGGATTTCATGCCATGGGTTCCTTGGGCCTCTGCTCAATCGCCTACGGATGTGGCGGTCCCGCAAAAAATTGCAAACCCCAACTAATTAGGGAAGGATTCTACATGTGACATAGCTACTCGAGCCTGACTGTGCGCAAAAATGGTGCAGGCCAACTTCCTCCAGGAGGCTAGGTGACTTCAGCATTTGGGAAGATCATATTCTTAGGATGTTGACAATGATCTTCCGAAGTGAGGGATGTCGTTTGGAATTCCAGGGATGCTTCAACAAACATGACCTGGTTATTCGAGAAAAAGAAACCTACGTAACAGAAAATGTAGATGATCGTCACTTTGATGGTAGCTAGCCACTCGGCACATCTAGCAACAGCAACGCCAAGACATACATGGTGTTTGCGTTTCAGACAGTAAGTTCCAACCCTCATGAATGTATGTTCTTTAGCGGTGTACCGAACATGTGACAAGTCGCCATTCTGAAACCTCGAGCATCTTACTTTGCCTGACAGACTCTGCCCAGCTAGAGACGCTGTTGGTGTTGGCAAGACGTTGTGTTTTCCCGAGTTTGGGCTGGCCGACGACTCGAGGGGCTTTGCGGAGCTCTTGGAGAAGAAAGGGGTGGTTGCATTTCGTTCGGGATGCTTCATGGTGTACATTCCTAAGGGACGACTCACCATTCTCCAAGGGTCTCCCTTTTTGGAACTTTCAATAGCGGTAGTTTCAATGTAACCACCAGTAAACTCATCAACTTTCGATTTGGGAATTCAGTGACCCCTATTCTTTTCGCCCGTCTTCTCTTCAGAAAGCACGAACTTTCCCAGTGAAAAGGATCCCTAAAGAAAAATGGGGTTCGAAGGATGGACCTCTTCTTCTGTTTACCCGCCCCCCTATGCGGGTCACGTGCATAGGGGTCAATGAGTGATGCTGATGCCATAGGTTGCCCTCAACACATGTTTGTCAACGGGACACCACCATGCAACCTTCTCAAGTGACTTGCTCTTTTTTCTGACAAGCCATCTTTAGGAGTACGCCAAGTACCAGCAGCGCGTCTCCAAGTTCTTCCCGCTGCCATCGGCTTCCGCTTCCGCCCGCGCGCCTCAGCTGGCGACGGCGAAGGCGGGGGCTCCCAGCGGTTCAGCACGGCGACGGGACGCGTCGCCGGCGCCGCGGGCGAAGGAGGAGTAGGCCGGGCGTGTCGATGGGCTGAAGAAATGTGTGGCCCGTTAAATTTATGGTTTATGGGCATAAATCCCGCGTGGGGTTTTCTCATACAGGACCACACTTTGGGATGTTTAAATGGAACGGTTTTCAATGTGACATGAATTTTGAGAGTTGAAGCCATCTCCAAAACTGTGAGAGTGAATTCCCACCTCCATGATGTCCACTAAAGGGTTTCTTATAGATCATGAGGGTATCGTAGCTGGGTAAATTATGACAAGCTCGCCTGGAGAAAGCGTTTGCGCCCCATCGTGAAGGTCCACCATTAGAGGGTGTTTTTTTTAGTTTATGAATTACACTAGTTTCCCCAGAGCTGGCTGTGGGTTGCCCAGGGGTAAGGCAGCATTGTTGTCTTTTTGGCTGCACGCTTCAGATGCTGGGTGTGTGTGTCTATTTCAGTTTGCTTAAGATGGCAAGCGTGGTGACTGGCGAATGTGTGTTGTGCTTTTCTTCTTTGTTGGCCACTGGGCAAATTGCACGGGACAGTGGTTGCACTTGTGGTTTCATCCGTGTCTAGTGGTTGTTGTGGGAGTGGGAAGACATTGCAAGAACGGGCGTGTTCACGGCAGTGCGACTTTCGCCAGCATTGAGCATGTTGAGCTCACTCCATAACTTCCTGGACTGTTGACTAGGTCCCCCATGCAGTAGCCTTTTTTGGGGGAGGGTTACCCTACTAAAATAGACTACACAAAACAGGCTACCCTTATTCTAACCTTCCTACTGGAGGACCTAGTTGACTGTTTGCGAAGAAGAGGCTGTCTTTGCTGGGAGCAAGCAGACGACTCCAACGTCCAAGTTGGATCGTACTTGTTTGTACGTCATCTTTATACCATGTGTGTGTGTTGTTGCAGGGTACCCTGGTTGCGTTGGTTCAACAGGAGATCAAAAGGAACACCACCATTTTAGGTGCAAGGTCGTCGAGCAAATCTGTTTCCACCAGGTGGTTGGCAATTGTGAAATCGGGGCACGGTCTTTGGGTGACTCGCATGCGCAAACTGAGCGACCAACCATGACGGCTTGCGGTTTCCTTTGGGTGAACCCATACCCCACGGTCTCTGTTGCCATGGAACCCGCCTGGGAAATGGTCCCGTTCAAAGGGAAGATGGTCCAAGCCAGGACCAGTGGGGTTCCGTGTAGCTCTTTGGTCCCCCAGTAGTGCCCTTTTACCCTTTTTTGGGGAGGCTTCCACGTCTAAAATAGACTACAGAAAAAAGGGTACCCTTATTCTATCCTGTCTACTGGAAGACCTAGTTGTGGATGAGGGTAGCTCTTTGGTCCTTGTCAGCCCTTCTGGGGATGAAATTTGACCAACCCGACTGGATGCGCGGGAGTCTATGTTGGAGTTGGCCCGCTTGAGATGAGCAATGGTCAAGAGTTCCATCTGTGATGGTTTCCACTTCCCCCAAAACCCACTACCACTGTACAGCCTGCCAAGATCTCTAGGATAGTTTCCACTACCACTGTATAGATTCAATGGTTAGCTGTATAGCCTGCCTTCGCCAAGGGGCGGCCTTGCCCCTTGTCTGAACCAACCAGGAGTTCAACCTCGTAAACACACACAACCACGTCTAAGGGCTCCAAATGTGCCCCCAAGTTTGAGTAGGTTTGTTGATACTCTTTCAGTGTTTTTCCATATCCTACAGAGGTGGATCCACAGAAGCCGCCACATCCAAACCGCCCGTTTCCTAGATGCGTATGTCAAAATGAAACCGCCAGGCAACGTGAGGTTTGACTCCATGTTTCCATTTACCAGGGCAAGCCATGTTGGGTACCTATTTTTGACGCACATTGGAGAGCTTAGCGTCAGGAAGACTGTGGGACATGGACCCGGATGGCAACATGATGCTTTCGGTCAAGTGGGCGTGGGTGAAAAATTAAACAACTGGGGTTACCCACGTTTTAGTCGACCTTTCCATTTACCAGGGTTCCATTTGGATTTTTATTCTTGAGCAGCACCCAAGTGGTAAGCAGCTCAAAGCGCCTTTTTTTGCTCAGATGATTCCGGCCTCAGGCCACGGCCTTCCCTCCGGTTCGGGGTGTTGACGCGTTGCCGCCAGGCTCAGCCCTTGCTTGCCGAAGCGTAGCTGGCGCTTTGCGCCGCGTGAGAGCTGGGCTGACATGAGTCGCTTCCTGGCCATCATGCACCCCGCCTATGGGGTGGGGCTACGGGGTTGGGGCTATCCCTGGAGAGGCCCAGGATAAGCCCAGGCCTGATTAAGAGGTTAATTAGGGACAACCCCTCCCCATAGCGCCCCTTGAAAGTCCATGACATACCCTGTGGCAAACTACATAGCAGCGATGACTTTGTGTTGTTTCTGATTTTGAAGCTGAGCGGAGCAGGATTTGGCACGCAGTGGTTGGGGTCGATAAAAGGCGTAAAGTTTGATGCCTCGCTGCCAGCGGAAAATGGGCCGCGTTCTGCGGTGTGTTGCAGTATGTTGCTTTTGTGTGACTTGTACATGAGCTTTCCAAATTCCGGAAGATCCAGCGGCATATGTAGAGAAAAACACCAGAACTGGTGTTTGCGGAGATGCAACCACAGAAATCCAGCAGGACACATGTTTGAAGAATGTTGCTGGGGACCTGTACTGAAGCGGCCGGAATAATTTGCAAGCAGCTGTATGTGCTCTACTTCCTGCTTGGTCACTTCGAATCCTGAAGTCTTGGATATCTACATATATACAAGTGTGTGTGTGTGTGTCTTAAAAGGTACCCCATGTATTTTGACTCATCCCTCCAACATCAGGAGTGGTTGCCTTTCTGAGCTCAATTTCACGCGTTGTTGTGAGTGACATAGCACCTGCCTGGAAGATCGAAGTCCTCGTCTTGTTTGCCCCCTGTGCGGCGATGGAAGGGAGGGTAAGCTTTACAACCTGTAGTTGTTCTTTGGTCTTTGGTTTTGGCGGCTCGATCCCATCCGAGCCATAACGAACAACGAGCTCACCTATCGGGGGGAGATCGAGCTCACCGCAAAGTGGGTGCTGAGTGGCCCATGTTTCTTAACTTACACAAAAGGAAGCCAACAGGGTATCGAATGGTTAATGCTGAGATTCCAAACCCCCTATCCAGCACCAAAATTTGTCTTCAGATGTTTGCTGTTTGACTCAATTCTCATGATTCTAAGACATGGTCTCTTCAAGGGAGCGGTTTCGTCACGAGTATCGGTCATGCTTGCAGACCCACCAAAGCCATGGCTTTATGACCCCGTTCCGTGGGTTAACAATTATGGTCACTCACCTGCCATGTAGCCTGCTCCTTCAAATACAACTACTCACTTCTTGAGTGGATTGGCCCAAGAAACAGTCTCACTTGTTTGTTCACAGGAAAAGAGGTTTCTTCCAGGATGCCCAAGAAACAGTCTCACTTGCTTGTCGAAAGCAAAAGTGGGATGGTTTCTTCCGGAATGATTCCCTTCACTACTGATCACCAGCAAGGTGAAAGGATAGAACTAAGCACTTGCGTACGTGATTGCCTCTTCAAGCAGGAGGTTTACAACCAGAGGGTTCGTGTGACCATGTGTAACTGTACCGAATCGATGTCTCCTTTAAAGTTTAAGGTTAAAGGCCTAAATGGTCGAATCTCCCCTTCAATCTCCCAGGTGTTTCTCTTTTTGTGAGGGCCAGTAGGAGGCTTCCTTTGATACTCGAATGTTCAACCTACTTAGTGTGTAGGTTATGACTGTGTGGCTATGGGTCAACACGTCCTAGCTAGCACTATATGGGTGTGTGTCTTTTTGTGCGGGACGCCAACACATGGCAATGGTGTCCTTGTGGTTTCCCAAAACAAAGCCAACCAAGAAGGCGTACCAATCGCAGAAAAAAACACCGACCCATCATATGGTTATGACCTACCTAGGCGTCCTCCTAATTAGTGGGGGAGCTTTTTTTCCGGGAGGCGTTGACGGCCGCTCAGCGCTTCTGGGATTCCATCAAGGCGCGTTTTTCGCTTTTTGGGGGACGTCTGGACAAGGTCTAGGGGTACCTTCCAACCATAACAAACCTACGGCTCCTTCTTTGTGGCAAACCTCCGGAAACCCAGGGAAAACGGAGCTTGTTTCTGAGAAGAATGGGGAATCACCCCTAGACAAGGGAACTGATCGCCCGTGATTGTTGTCCTTTCCCTCAGAGAAAACCAAGCAAATTTATCCCTCAAAGTGTTCCCCCCTCAATTTTTGGCTCACTCAATTTGTTGTGTTCTCCCAGTGTTTTCCCTCAATGTGTTCCCTTGTGTTGTCCCTCAAGATGTGTTCCCCCGTTCTTCTGCGTTTTTCGCGCTTTCGCTAGTTCCAACGATGTTTAGATTGCCCATGAACCCCTAAGAGCCTGGAGTCTTTCTCAGACCCACTGGATTCCTGGGGTTCCCTTGTCGGGCGTTTCTCTTAAAGGGAAGCCGAAAGGAAACTACGTTGCCAAGAATCATGGGAGTGGGCGATCCGGGTCCTGCCGCTTTCCAGGAGGATGGTCTTCCAAAAAAACCCTGCTGTCCACTTTAATGATTGGGAAGAAGATGCCCTGTTCAAGGGTTTCCCTACTGGACGAAATGCATTTCGCGCCAGCGTTCAGAAACCCTGGAAGGAAATACTGACAAACAATGGTGTCAACCATGGATTCAATCTGGGGCAAACGGATCTCGCTCATGCACAGCATTTTCGGACACAGCTGTGGGATGCTCTGGTTTCGCCAGCGACAGCTACGGGGTCTTAGGCTGCGCAGATGGTTTGCCTCCACCAAGCATTTCACGTTCGAATCTCGGATGACATGCCGGGTATGGTGTTTAATCACACCCTGGACAAGGTCTTGGCTTGGATTGGAAGGTTTCAAGTTGCCTCACCCCCCAATACAGGTTATTCTACGCACTCGGAGATTCGATTCGCAAAGACCTCCATGTGAATCAGTCGAAGGAAGTACCTCACCAGCGGCCTTCTCGTAGGTTTCGGTTTAGCATCCCAACGTAGCAAGGCTCCCAGAAAACACTACACCTTAAGGTTTGGGTTGTCTCAACCAAAGATTGCGGCCTCAAGGTCCCTGAAAGACAACATATTCCCGAACTTGAGAACAGCTTGCTTCAATGTTGGAAGGATGCTTTCTTTGTTCTCTCCTCGAGTTGTTGGCTCTGTTCACTTTTAAGTAGGGGGCTGCAAGTCAAGCACTGGTTTTGGCCTACAGGCCAAGAATTGGGAAGCAACACACTTTTCATGTTTCTCCCTCCCCTTTGTGGGTGACACCTGTTCGTAGGATGGGGCTGTTCATCAGGGGTTCCGATTGCCAGATAAGTGGCTTTTTGGATGCAACCTCCCTAGGCTTGTGGGAAAATTGTCATTCAGGGGCTCCTCAGTCAGGTAGAAATTCACTTTTTTGGTTTGGATGCGGCAACCAACAAGGTCGGTTACTTTCTTTTGGCCCATTCACCCGGGAGGTGAGTTTCAGGGGCTTCCGTTTCAGGGGCCATGCGCAACCCATTTGGGCCCAAAAACAAGCGGGACCCGGGAAGTGCGGAATCCTCGTTAAGGACTTGCCAGAATCCATCTCAGCTTCCCTTTGCCAGGCTCCGGAGGATGTGGCCCGGCCGCATCTAAACGGGTGCCGCTAGAAACATGGAGGGAGGTTGCCTACCCTCAGGTTCGAGCCATACAAAGACCTTAGAGGGTGAGTTTGTTTAGTTGGATTCCCTGGTTACCTACTAATAGTGGTAAGAGGAAGATGGGCTTTACTGCATATTCATCCAGAAGTTCAACTTTTGGCAACAGATCAACAACCCTCTGCGTTACCACCTCACTCCCTGAGCTCTTGGGCTTTAAACTTCGGGCAACAAACAGTTTGGGACTTGTTTTGGTCGATGCGTTCAGGGCTGAAGCTTTGCAAGTGTCAAGTAACAGCAACTGACAAAAATGCTTGTGGTCCACCAGTAAAGACGAGACAGGGGGCCCACCCAATTTCCCGTGTCTTTTGGGAGCATTTGTTGTTCCTGGCCTATGTGTCAATCAACTGGCCCTCATTTCTGCATGTTTGGGATAGATTATATTCCCGTCCTCTCTCCAGAAGCTTTGAACTTGAAAATCAAATTTGGGAATTCACATCTGGCATGGTTGCGTCAATGTCACCTCTGGGGTTCACGAAGCGCCGTACACTGGCTCCGAGCAGCGAGGCAACCTTCGTGGCATAGGCGTCCCTTTGATCGGGCGGTTTGGTCAGAAATGATTTTGGGCTCCGCTGGTTGAGACGCGTGGTTTCTGACCATTTCACCAGGGACACCATGGGACACCCGTCTATTTTGCAAGAAGATCGCCCATGCTTGGTGCATTCCTAGACGTTCCCCTTGGATCACGGGCGACCTCGAGGATGTTGGTCGGTCTCTCTTTTTCAGGTTGAACGATAATTTGTTGCCTCCATGTGGTTCTTGCGTCGGGAAACCTTCTTGATGCATTCCTGTAGCATTTCTGCTTGAACATTCCTGCATTTTAAGGCTGCCGAGGTGCGTATGGTACTGTTTCTGCACTCATTCAACTGACTCCACTTCAACAAGATTGGCTTAAACTATGTCCGTTTCAGAACATCCTCAGATGAGCCTCTCAATAGTGACGAAACGGAACACCGCCCCCCCAAGAAAAAGAAAAAGAAAAAGGAAGAAATAAAGAAAAAGGAAACAACAACAACAGTTAAACTAAACAAATAAAGAGAGGTAATTATGAAACTCCTAAAGATGTTCACCTTAAGGGAGGCAGCGTTGGTCCTGTGTCAGGGCAACCCACCGCAAGAGTCGAAGCAGTTTCTAACATGTATTGGTTGTGTTGAGCTCGTCGGCGAAGTCACAAACATGTGCCGACCGTGCTCAGCGCACACTTTTGGCAAAGAGGGTTTAGCAAAGTCGCTTTCCAAATGCTGCTCGTTGGCAAAACATGTTTGCGAGCATGCCCTCTCCACATGTTGACAAAGCAACCTGTTAATTGCATGTCCTCAAATGGTTTTGTCTCTGAACGGAACCTCCCACCCCCAGAACATGGCTGTCTTGTTCAGGTACCAACTCCAGAAGAAGCACCCCCATTCGGCTTCTTTGAAAACGACCCAAACCATGTTTCCCCTCCCTA